CGAATAAAAATGATAAAAACGAGTAAATTGAGTCGAAATAGATGAAATATATCTAGATAATTTAAATATATGATTGATTAGCTTTAATCAGCACATACAAAATAGATAGACAACACATAGTATGATTTCAATTGATATAACATATATTATGTTAACTGAAGTTATGAGGTGTAGATTTACATTTTATGGGTGTGCTATTTTATATATTTCATTTGTTGTGTTTAATAATATGTATTCTATAAAAAATTGTTATTTATTGTGAATTTATATGTTATATATATTTATATTATATCGACTGTATATCCAGTATTATTGAATTATAATTCTTATATTGTCCAATTATTTTTATTTGAGCACAGGAACAACCTCCTTAAATATAACTACCCCGCTCCTAACAAACTAAGATTTTGACTTAACCAATTACACTCTTCTAAGTTTCTCCCTCTCTATCTATTTATTAGGGTTTGATTGTTCGAAGGATTTTGTAAAAAAATCACTATTTATTTAAAAAAAAATTCTAAAAAAATATCAAATCAAACACCTATTTTTTATTTTTTGTATTATTATATAAATTAATTTTACATTTAAAACATCACATCAACACCGGTTTATATCACATCATACAACTATTACAATTCAAAATTTTTATTATTCAAATCTCAACTCAAAATCCGAACATCCAAACAAACACATCTCCTCTCTCTCTACACATATATGCATGGTCAATGTTAATAATCCAAATTTTATTATTTAAACTTTTGAATTTCATAAAAAAAAATATATATATTTTTTATAAAACATTTAATTAAATATTACTCTCTTCATCTCAAACACTTTGCAACATTTTATTTTTGGTATGTACCAAATATTATGCAATATTTTTAAAATATGAAAAATTAAATATATTTAATATGTATATTTACTTGTGAGATTTTTGTTTTTGGTTTTGGTTTTGATAGTAAAATTTTGAATTGAAATAGTTGTCTGATGTGATATAAATATCTATTGATGTAATATTTTGAATGTAAAATTTAATTTTAGTGTAATATAATAAATAAAAAAATAGGTGTTTAATTTGATATATTTTAGGGAAAAAAAGTTTGAATAGTAAAACGGAAAAACAAATCTCACAAGTAAACACACTCAGTACATCACTCAAATAAATATTCACTTTTCTCCCTGATCATATCATTTAATTATCAAATTATCATATTTAATACCAACCACCTAAATTCTTGTGCCCAAAACAAATATTGCACCGTATTTTAGACGAAAAGAGTAGTATTTTAATACCAAACTTAAATCAATTTTCCTATACCCACCCAAAAGAAAGCAATAAAGCAATTTTAAATATTACTCCCTCCGTCCTCCATAATTTGTCCAGATTTTCTATTTTCGTCCGTCTCATATAACTTGTCCTTTTTTTAAAAAAAATATAATTATGCACTTTAATTATATTTTAATTTTTATAATTTTTTCAATTTTAATTAAATTATTTATTTATCTTAATCTTAATTTATAATTATTTTTACTAATACAATTTTTTAATTACAATAAGCCCAAAATATCTGGAAGGAGGAAGGGAGTAAAAGACATTGATAGACATATTGACAAAGATCCCACCAAATTGTACACAAGAAAACCAAATGCAATAGTTTAGCATACACACAAACTTAATTACTTGGTCAAAAAGACATTTATTTTTATGCATTGCAAGAAATTATCCAACTGCACAAATCAAAGGAATGTGTTTATGTTAATCAATATTAGCCTCCGCAACCTCCACAACCACCACAACCACCGCAACCGCCGCCACCATCTCCACCACCGGAGTCGCCGCCTCCACCATCTCCACCACCGGAGTCACCCCCTCCACCACCAATGACTGCACCGGCAGCGACAGTGGCGGCAACAGCAGCTCCTGCTCCTAAGACCACCATACCACCATCCTTTGCTAGGCTGCTTTTAGGTTTATTACCTCTCTCGACGTCGTGGTTAGGGCGATAGGCGGTGGCTGTCGCGGCTTGCTTCTTTTTCTTACCATTTCGACAAAGACAGCATAGGAGAATGGCTGCTGCAGCCACAGAACCACATACTATGAGTACTATTGCATAAGCTTTCATCCTAATTCATATGTATGTATGAATATGAATTAATGTCCTAATGAATAAAATGATATATTGGCTTCTTTATATATATGATGATTTGTTAGGGTTTAGGCTAAAATTTTGTAATTGTGATCGAGGAAAAGAGATCGAAATTTTGGGGTTGACATTGACTTCTAAAGTATTATAAATTTGTATGACTTTTGAGGGTCGATTATATTACAAGTGGGGTGAACTTGTTCAAGAAACTATATTGTAATATATGCATGTCTTAACATTTGAAAATTTTGCTCCTGATTTGGTGAATTCGTTTGGGTTTTGTTTGATTTGATTTGATAGATTTGGATTGATTATAATGAAATTGTAGATAAATGAATTTGAAATATCCCCAATTTGGAATATTTCGTAATTTAAATCTATTTTTTGGTTGTAAAAAATATTTGAAGTGTTAATGTTAAGGGAATGTTTAAAATGTTAATAATATGGGTGGATTTATGAAAATGAAAGTTGTGATTTTTGTAGATTTGAAATCTATTGCACTACCTAACAGAACAATTAAGTTTGAATGAATTTTTTAAATACAGAAAAAATAAATTAAATACATACATATATATATTTATAAATATAGGTCAAAAATCCTAACAGGCGATCAAAGTTTAACTTTTGAGGGACGGAAGGCATAGTTCTTCCCAAATTCTAACTTGAACTTCAAAACACATCAACTGAATTAATAAAATCTATTTGTTCTAGTTTGGAATTCACAATATATCAATGAAAAATTGCCCGACCAAAGCCTAAAATATTAGTTTAGTGAATAATTTTAACAATAATATTTTTAATTCATTGTAAAAAATATTAATTATGTTTATTTTATTAAATCAATCATTGATACAATTGAATGGAATAGTATCATCAATTAATTTTCAATGTACACATTGAGCTTTTAGTGTTAGCTACTCATTGCTTTCTTGTTCAGTTGAACAAACTACAATGCAATGCCTTGCAAGTTCCAAGCAATATAATACTCCCTCCGTCCCACATATCATGTCCATATTGTCGTTTTTATTCGTCTCACATATCATGTTATTTTTTTTTTTAGAAAATGATTACACACTTTAATCTCATTTTAAACTTTTTAATTTTATTTTTTTTAATTTTAATTAAACTAATTAGTTATCTTAATCTTAATTTATAATTATTTATATTATCGGATAATTATTTTCGCTAATATATTTTTAATTATCTACTAATTACACCCCTCCTAAAATACCGTATCTACGGTATAGCAGACACGGTGTGTGGGACAGAGGTAGTAATAAGAATCATAATAATATCCCCTATCTATCTAGAAATCTTATTAAAAAAAAAATAAAATAAAATAACGTTGACTTCATTAATTATTGCCGAGACTGCAACTCTGCAAGTAATAACAATAATAACGACCTGGTTTGCAAGGTATTATGTTCGACCGGGGTTTATCCAGTGTGCACTTTCGGGTAGCGGTTATGAATTCTTACGTTATAAAAAATATATATATATCTCTCTTAATTTTTATATATTTTTTTTAAATTATACTCCCTCCGTCCACTATTAATTTTTTTTTTTTCATTTTAGTATGTCCAATTCTCACTTCATTTTTTATAAAAAGTAACTATAAACTAAATATCAAAATACTCATACTTTTTATTTTTTCACATTTTTTTAAAAATAAAATAGGTTACATTACTTTTAACACTATGTATCTATAAAATACTAATTTTCCTTAATACACGTACAAAAGTCAAATGAAAATATTGTCATTGGATGGAGGAAGTATTATTTTAATTTTACAAAATATTATATTTAAGTATTTATTTTTTAATATTTTTTTAATTAATTAAAATTTAATTTTACATATCTAATTTATTATTTAAACAAAAAAATTACCAAAAATATTTCTTTCATATATTCTCACTTATCAAAATTCTTTCTGACCTGATTAATTATTTATTATATATCGATTCATCCAAATATTTGTATTTGTTTATATTTCTTAACTGAATTTTTATTTAAAATAAAAATTATCTCATTTGCCTTATTTGATTGAACAAGATAACAAGGAATTGAGAAAGAAATTATTTTCCATTCTATGAATTTATTTCTCTGTCACATAGAGAGAAAGGTAGATATTCATATATTGATGTAGTATATTTTATTTTTTTATTATTTTGTATTATTTAATTTTTATATTTATTAAATTATATTATTTCAATCTTATAAAATATTACATTTAATTTATATTCAAATATTTAATTTTTTTACTATTTTCTAAAAAATTATATTAAAATTTGATCTTACCAAATATCATATCTAATATATTATTAGAACGAAAAATATTTTTTTATGGACTCTCATTAGTTAAAATTCTTTATTACTCAATTAATCATATATTTTTGATCAATTCATCCAAATATTTGCATTTTTATATTTTTTAACTGAATTATTATTATATCAAACAAGACAATTAATTATTATTTTCTACTGAATTATTTTATCTGTCGTTCCATTTTCTACTCTCATTTCTCCTAAATTCATACATTGTTAAATTGTTAAAATATGATCTGGATTTTCAACTTAAAATCAATTGATACAAAAGTCATGATGTCAATATTACGTATTGATTCTATTTGAATTTTCAAGATTATTATCAATCACCAATTAATTTTAAATTAAAAATTCGAATTCGTTCTTAATATAAATTTATCCAAAGATATACACCAAAATATATAATATTTTAAAATAATTATCTAAGAGTTCAATGATATAAATAACTGTATTTATTTATTTGTTTGTTTTAAAAAAATCACGATTCAATAGAAATTTTTGTATATTCAACATGTTTGGGAAATGGGTGAAAATGTCAAAATTATAAATCAACCAGATTGAGCTATGGCGATGGCGATAGCGATGGTGTGAGGCGCGTACAACCAATGTCTAAATTCCGAGCTTCTTCTTCAACTATTTTCTTCTGCAACCAAAAAAAGGTTTGATGAAAGCATATAAAAAATGATCCACCCTGCTCGAAGCAATATTCTGTTGTGCGTATTTGATCATTCTTTTGCAGCTACTTTGCGCCATGCTCGTAGCCAAGAATTTTCTAATCTGTCAAAGGATAGTTCTCTGCTTCAGTACTTCCAAAAATTCGATCGCAAGAACACTGAAACCTTATTCAAGCACAGCAAGTCAAGCCATCTCTGCCAAAGTCAGCAAGTTTGTGATTTACTGCAACAAGCAGATAACGAGCCATGGCCGAAGCGGGAACACCAGGCAAGCCGAGTTGCTATTCCAGCGTATGCCGGAGAAGACTATCGTTTCTTACACAGCAATGCTGACGGCCTACGCGAACAATGGGGAGATAGCCAATGCCCGGAAGTTGTTCGACGAAATGCCGCAACGGACTGTGGAAGCATGGAACGCCATGATTACAGCTTACATAAAGAGCAAGGACAGAGTGAGTGGTGCTGAAGAGGCTTTAAGGTTGTTTGTCGAAATGCCGGCTCGAAACGCAATATCGTATACAACAATGGTGATGGGATTCGTAAATGCCGGAAGGTTTGATGAAGCTGAGAGATTGTATGCAGAAACGCCATTGAAATGGCGGGATCCGTATTGCTCGAATGTTCTGATGAATGGATATTTCAAATTCGGGAAAGTTGAGGAAGGCGTTAGGATATTCGCGGGCATGGTGGAGAAGAACGTCGTTTCTTGGAGCTCGATGGTGGACGGATACTGTAAAATTGGGAGATTGGACGAGGCTAGAAAGTTATTCGATTCGATTAAAGAGTGTGCAAATCAATTCACATGGTGTTCGATGATCGATGGTTATTTGAAATCCGGACATTTTGAAGAAGGTTTTCGATTGTTCTCGCAAATGAGAGAGGAAACTAAAGTGAGAATCGAACCTACTATTGCGACCGTGCTTTTGGAGTCGTGCGGAAAAATCGGAAGGTATAAAGAAGGGTGTCAAGTACACGGATTGGTTTCGCGATCGGGATTGGAGTTCGATGTATTTTTAGGAAATTCTATCGTAGCAATGTATTCCCGGTTTGGTCGTGCGAACGAGGCGAGAATTATGTTTGATTCGATGAGTTCGAAAGATGTCGTGTCGTGGAATTCATTGATTTACGGTTATGTTCAAGCTGGAAGGCTCGAAGAGGCGTACGAACTTTTCGAGAAGGCGGATTCGAAAGATTTAGTCTCGTGGACAACGTTAATCGCCGGATTCTCGAATCGTGGTTTCACCGAAAAAGGTGTTTGGCTGTTAAGTAAGATGCCGGAATGGGACGATGTTTCTTGGACAGCTCTTATATCCGGATTCGCGAGCAACGGAGAATACGAAGACGCTATTCATTGGTTTGTTCGTATGCTACGGAATACGATCAAACCTAACCCCCTTACGTTGAGTACCGTACTTAGCGCTTCGGGTAATTTGTCGATCTTGAGCCTTGGCCTACAAATCCATTCCTTTTCATCGAAAACGGGCGTCGAAATCGATCTATCGATTCAAAATTCGCTTATCTCAATGTACGCAAAGTGCGGAAGTGTACACGACGCCTACCGGATATTCCAATCTGTCGCCACGCCGAACGTCGTCACTTTCAATTCGATGGTTTCGGGTTTCGCCCACAACGGATACGGTGGAGAAGCGCTCAACGTGTTTCGGCGATTGATCGTAGAAGGACACGAGCCCAACGAAGTCACGTTTCTCGGCGTTCTATCCGCTTGCACCCATGCCGGGCTCGTCAACGAGGGTAAGAAGTTCTTTAATTCGATGAAATCGTTCTTTAAAATCGAGCCTACGCTCGATCATTACGCGTGCATGGTCGATCTTTTGGGTCGAGCTGGGTTAGTCGACGAAGCGTCGAAATTGATCGCGTCGATGCCCGTCGAGCCTCATATTGGTGTGTGGGGTGCTCTTCTCGGGGCGTGCCGCAGCTACGTGCATCCCGATCTTGCCGAGGTTGCGACTCGGCGGATATTAGAAATCGAACCGGACAATGCGGCTGCGTACGTGGCGTTGTCGGATATTTATAGTTTCGTCGGGAATCGAAGGGGTGAAGAGGAAGTCAGATTGTCGAAGAGGTTTAAAGGTGTTAAGAAGAGCCCTGGTTGCAGTTGGATTACTGTAAGGGATAAGGTTGAAGTGTTCCTTTCTGGAGATAAATCTGTTATGAAGTTTGAAGAGATTAAGAATACTATGTCGATTGTTATGCACGAGATGTTGTCGGGTTTGGCGTGCACTGATGTGGACTTGTTGTCCCCTTAAGAAGCAAGAAGATTGAATGATGTGCGTATAGATGTACGTCCGAGTTTAGATTTTTTTTCTTTTTTTATTTCAAATTTTTCGATTGGCCAATGCGAATACGACTCGAAATGAATTATATGAACGGGCTCTCGGTGTTCAAATTTGTGAAAATCAAAATAAAATGCACGCAAGAAAAATGATAGTTTGATCTGAATAATTTACGTCGATGTCTACGATAGCTTGTATAAATTTAAAAAAGAATACATCAAATATTTTTATTCATATATTGTCTGTTTGATATACTACCTCTATTCGTCTTCAAAGATAATATATATTTTCTTTCGTTATTATATTTAATATTAAAAATATTTTTATATTTATATAATATTTTTTTTATACGCAAAAGTATAAAATCGGACGGAAGTAATACTCCTCCGTCTCATAACAAAGTATCTCTTTTTCCATTTTAGTCCGTCTCATAACAAAGTATCTATTTCTTTTTTTTTTACTAACTGTACTTTCTACTAACATTACAAATACCCTTATAACTTACAATATATTACACAAATGTGATTACCTTTGTATCACACATATTAAGGTTATTTTAGTCATTTCCATTTTATTCCTACTATATCATAATATGATACTAATATTTCTAAAACTACATGTAAAAAATAAATGGATACTTAAATTCGGAATGGAGGGAATATATTTTATGTGTCGATTCTAATTAATATCTCTTATATAGTGAAATTTTACAGTAGTTACTTATGTTTGTAATTTAATATCCATTTGCTTTGATAATCTATAAACATATTTTTTAAACCTTGGCAAGTTTTTAATGTTAATAAAATATTTATTTCATATTACATTAAAAACAACTGTATATTTCTTTTGTACTTACAAAAGTCCTCGTTCGTCTCAAATATTATATAATTTTATTTTTTTTGTATGTCCAAACATCTTACAATATTTTCAAAATAGAAAATAATTAATTATAGTAAATATTTGTCTCACACTTTATCTCCTCACATCATTAAAATAAAAAAAATAAAATATACATTTCTTTCTATATCACATTACCTAATTTTTAAATTATCCTATTTAATACTATCCACCTAAAAAAAACTCGTGTCAAAAGCAAATATTGCACCTTGTTTAGGACGGAGGAATATTTTCAAATTTGTTGTTTTTTTTTTTAAATAAGTGATGATAAAATATATATTTTGAAAACATAATTTATTTATATATATTTTATGTAAAATATTAAAATTTTACTCATAATATTATAGTAAACTTTTATTTTTGTAAGTAAATAAATTCACCTATAATATTTATTTCTTATTTGAATATACTAAGTAATAAATTAGAGACATTTCCCAAATTGAAATATTAGATATATTCTGAAATTATTTGAGTATATAAAAAGATATTTAATATTATATATATATATAATATTTATATAGTATTTTAAAAATAAAAATATTTTATTCATTTTGAATAAAATATATTTTAATGAAAGAAATTTTTATAAACAGTACAAAATCAAAATTGAAAACAAAAGTTCAACAAGCTTAAAAATTCATGTATGAAGAAAACCAAAAAAGTCACCAATCTTAGAGGGTAAGAAACTACAATTTTGGGTGGACCCTTCCTTGCTTTTCACAATCTTAACACTATCTAATAAACCCCAATTTTTATTTAACATTTCAACCTAAAATAATTATACACTTTAATCCTCTATTCGTGGTGCAAATGTGTGCTCATTTGACCGGACATGAGTTTTAATAAAAGTGAGTAATAATTGTTATTTTTTCCTTTTATAGTAAAAAAAAGTACAAAAATGTAATAATTTTTTACTTAAAAAGAAAACGGGAATATTTTTCAATGACAATCCAAAAAGAAAAGTGAATATAGATTTAAATAACAGAGGAAGTAATATTTTAAGATTCATAGTTTATAATTTTTTTATTTAAATTAAAATATATACTCAGTTTAATCTTAATTTATAATTATTTTTATTGATACAATTTTTAATTATTTACTAATTACACAGTAGCTGAGAACGAGGGAATATTAATTTTCTTAATTTCTGAAAATAGATATTTTTTAGTAAAGTAGATAAAAATGATAAAGAATATGATTGGAACGAAAGGAGTATTACTATTAGTATTTAATTTAGTTATTTTTCTCAAAAATATATTCTTTATTTATAATTGTATTTAAACTATTATATTCAATTATTATTTTGTGTAAAAAAATATATATACATGTTCACACAAATGAACAAATATTTAGTCTACATTGTTAGCTGTGATTTCAATTTAAAAATACTACTATTTACTTCTTATAATTTTTAATAAAAATATATTATTTTTTACATTAAATATTATATCAAAATATTATTTAAATAAAAAATTAAAATAATATTTTATATAAAATTATTTTCAAACTATAACCAAACAAATAAGACTATCAAGTAGGATGTATCTAACATGTTCTATTTTCACTATTAAAAAAATATGTAACATTAAAAATCATAAACAAACACACCCTTGTTATCTTTACAAAATTATATTTATATTATATAAATTTTTTTAGTTAAATATAATTTTTAAAATATTTAAACACACTATTTTAAGAAATCAATTATATATTACTGCATTCCTTACTTAAATTTGTGTTTATTTTTATTTTTTTTATGTCACCTAAAAATATTTTTTTAATTATTATTAAAAAATATATACTTTTTTATAATTTTTACAATAAAAAGTAATACAAAATATATATCATATTAAAATTCATGTCCAAAATCAGTTAAAAGCAGCTTTATATAAATAAATAAATAATATATATTATTGTGTATAGTATAGATCCCACTCACATTATTAACTGATTAATATACCTTTCTGCAATTTATTTGTTTGTTTAAATTTTCCTTTAATACGGTATTATATATTTTATTAAAAAAATAATAAAAGTAAGAGAATAATTAAAAATATTTTTAAAAATTCAGTTAGAAATTAAAAAAGAAAAATTGTGAGAAAAAATATAATAAAGACAATAAAATGAATATCTAATAGATATGTTTGGAGGTTTGAATTTTAGATTTAAATTTTGAATAATATATCTTTTAATTTAAATATTTATTTAATGTGATGTAAATAATTTTGATATTTATTTTAATTTTTAAATTAATTTTTAGTATATATAAAAAATAAAAAAAAGTAAACATTTATCTATTTGATTTAATATTTAAGGAGGAATTTTATTAATAATAAAAAAAAAAAATTGAAAATTTCCCTAAAATCCACTGCCTATTATGATTGAATTAATATTATAAAATAAATTATGTTAGATTGATTGATAAAAAAGTTAGGATGAGTGACTTCAAGCGTCACCATGCTCAATGCGAAAAATTTATACCTAGTAGCAAATAAAAATATTAAGTAAAAATAATACATAAAATATTAAATAAAAGTATATATTTGTGTTGTATGAATATATCAATCATAAATTATATATATACATATATATTTTAATTATGATATATATATTTGAGTTGTATGAATATATCAATCATAAATTATATTTTTGGTTCTATATTAACATAAATACAAATGCAATATATTTTGACGAATACAATAAAAAAAAAAAAATAGACAAATAGAATGATGTGATTCACCAGCTAAGGCCGACTACGTTCTAGCCGAAGGAAAATAATCCACTTCCTTCGTCAAATTTCTATTATCCTAAAGTATATTTATACGATTTATTAGGTGATTGTCTTTTTGTTATGAATGGAAAAATTTACCCTTAAGTGTATGGTAGAGATTAAAAGTAATAAATGAATTAAGGGTAAACATGTAAATTTTGTGTTTAAAAAATGAAATAGGACAATAGTTGTCGACGTCTCAAATAAGAAAATAGGACATTAGTTTGTGGACGAATGGAGTAATATTTAGTCCCGTGAGGAATAGTCTGGTGGTACAGGGGTTGGATTTGTGACTATGATGTAATGTATAGTAAGAGTATTTATAGAAAAAAAAAAAGAGATATTTGTAGAAAAAAATAAAATATTTAATAAAATATTTACTTTATATTTTGACGTTCCAAAATAAAAATATATATAATTTGGAAGTGGACATAAGATTAATAAAAAACCAAAAGCAAGAAAACTTGTTTAAAATGAAGTAAGGTCAATGCCTTAACTCGGTGAACAATAGCCTTGACTCGACTCCGAAAAGCCAATCGGAATTCGGGCATATGACATTCCAGGACCACGAAGTCCTGGGACCTGCGTAGGTTTTATCCACTCTTTTGCTTTCTGAGTCCCTTTCCTTTTCTGTTTTTCTTTTGTGAAAAAAAAAAAAAAAAAAAAACAATTTCTAATTCCCGCCTGCCAATGAAACTGCTGTGCTTCTACACAAATTCACTCCAAACTTTCCTCGTCAATAGCCTCTTCACTCCCCTTCTTTCTCTTCCCCAGTTTCTTGATTTCATCCAAAAGCAAAAGCTAAAAAGATTGCACCCCATCATCAAAAAGCAGCAGCACAAAAAGCCACAAAAGCCAACAAAAATTAATCCAGCAAATCATGCATATACACCAAAGATTCCTCAATATATATCGACACTTTTCCCCCATGCACTTCCTGCTCTTCTCTGCACTACAGTTCTCCACACAATGTCCGAAATTGTTGTGGCCGATCCCCCCATTGACGACCCAAATAGAGCCAGCACCAGCACCAGCAGGAGGAGACGGCCTTATACCACCACTGATCATGCCAGGCCCTTCACGAGATCGATTACCTCCGGCCGGGACCATACGCCGGAGCCCTTTGATAGTGAGAAGCTGCCTGTCACTTTGGTGTCTGAGATTCAGAGGTTTCTTCGTGTCGCCAATCAGATAGAAGCCGATGAGCCCCGGGTTGCTTATCTCTGTGAGTTTCTTTGCTATACTGTTTTGGGTTTCGAAGGAATGGAGTTTTTGTTGTGGACAGAGATTTTACAATTTCCAAATGCTTAATTTAGATGAATTTGATGTTGTTTAGCTTTTAAAATGTTTACAGTGCAGTTTGGATGAGTTCTTGTTTAGTAAATGAATAGTTGGAGGTTAAATTGTTGTTTTGTTATTTGGAAATTTCTTCACTTTTAACTGAAAAATTGTGTGATGTGTCGAAGATAATTGTGATTTATGGAATTAGGTAGTAACGTTTAAAAAAAGATTCATAGTACTATAATCTAACAAGTATAAAAAGCATTTATCGAAAATCGATCTAATGATAAGCTAATGAAAAATTGGTGTTCTATTACTAATCAAGTTCTTTGATCAGGTCGTTTTCATGCTTTCGAAGTAGCTCATAACTTGGACAGAAACTCAAGTGGTCGTGGGGTTCGACAATTCAAAACTTCTCTTCTTCAGCGGCTTGAGCAGGTATGTTCTGAACTGGAGATGAAAGGGTAATGAAAATAGCTAGTACTAATGGCTTCTTTTGTTTCTCTTCCTTAAATTTGCCAGAGGTCCTTGTAGTTTTGGCATGTCTTTACCGACAATGACAAATTGCAGCAACCTTCTGAATATGCGCATGAGAGTCAAGATTGTTATCCTGATGTTTTCTTTAATCTTTTGTCTGACTAAAGGGCAATATGAAGTTGATCACACAGCCTTGATAGCGAATAATTTTTCTTATTTCTGATCAGAAGAAAATCAAGCATATATATGAACCTCTCTTGATGATTTGGTGTGCAACTGTAAACTCACCTTCCTGTCAATTCAACTTGAAATGATTTCTTTCCAATTCACAATGGTCTTGCTATTATCATTAATTTAGCTTCTGTAAAACGCCGTCCCTTATCCTGAAAAAAATAAAAATGCTCTGTTCAACTGTTCCAGTGTCCCAAACGTCATCAATAATTTTAAGATGATGTTTGGTTTTAATGGAAATATCTTCTGTGTTGTAAAATACAACAGCTTTGTAAAAGGTACAAGTGACAATATAAGATTCTAATGGCCAAATGTTTCAACATCTATCAAATTATAGCTCTCTAACTCAATTTTATTGTACCTTTTGATACTTAGGATGAAGAAATCACAATTAGGAAGAGGAAGGAAAAGAGCGACTTACGAGAATTGCGCCGTGTATATTGGGAGTACAAAGATTATATCATTAAACATGGTGGAGAATACACTTTGGAAACTCGGTAATAATGGGGGAGATAAAAAAATCATAATCTGTTTTCATATCACATCTGTTGATATTTAATTCTTCTCTCAGATCAAAATTGACCAAAGCAAGTGTCATTGCGTCAGTCATACTTGAAGTGCTAAAAACAGTTACTTCTGCAGCAGGTTCCCAGGTTTCCTATTGCTTCATTTCCCTTTTCCATTTGATTATGTTATTATAACATTCGTTTCTTTATTATTTATGATCGAATGCCATTGTTCCCTTCTGATTTGACTGTCCCGTTTAACACACAATGTATGATGTCTGACATTTTGAATAGGCCTTTGCTGAGGATGACAGCTCAAGATCTGAATTCTTTGTGCCTTATAACATTCTTCCTCTTGATCAAGGTGGTGTTCATCAAGCGATAATGCAACTTCCTGAGGTTTGATGCTCTCTATTTAACAGCATCTTATTTATAAAAAAATTTTATGTAGTAGAAAAAACTTTCATTTACCTTGAGATGGATGGCTGCAGTTTCTGTATGCTATCATGTTTGGCCGGACTTGTATTTTTCTAGTTCATTTGAGTGAATGTTACAATTATAAATAAAGTTGCGGAGAGGTGTTGTTAATGAAATAACTACGATAACATGTAGAAACTCTACAGATCAAATCTGCAATTGCTGCTGTCCGCAATGTTCGAGGTTTGCCTTTTTTGGAAGATTTTAAACCACGTACGTCAAATATGGATTTATTCAATTGGCTTCAGTTTTGCTTTGGATTTCAGGTACCCTTTTGCTTCCTATGTGTTTTATTCCGATTTTGTTTTTCATGCATCTAAACTTCTTTCATGAACTTGTGTGCTATTTAAGTTCATTTAGTTCATAATGTACCAACAATGTGACATATGATTTGAAAACTGTAGAATCTTGGTATCTCCAATTGACATGAACCAAATTTAAAAATTCTTCTTTTACTAGGAAGGAAATGTTTCGAACCAGAGGGAGCATCTGATTCTTCTACTGGCCAATTCTCATATTCGCCAGACTCATAAACAAGCTCCGAAGGTATATGCAATAATAATTATATTTAGAAGTTCCTTCTTTGTCGCTGCACATCCCCACCCAGAAGTTTCTTCACTTTTGGATAATATATCAGATTTTAGGTGATGGAGCTGTGGATGAACTGATGAAGAAGTTCTTCAAAAACTATTCACAATGGTGCAAGTTTCTAGAAAGGAAAAGCAGCATTCGGTGAGCATATACACAATAGGGGATTCTACTGTATGAGCTGCTCTTGTTACTCTTTATTTGCGCAAATATTTTTTCACCTTTTCTATTAATTCGCATCTCATCAAGGACTACATTACATTCTTTAATCAAACATACCTGAGAGGGGGTAGATTAAGCTTAAACAAAAGCGAAACATGACGTGATCGTTGATGGTATAGATAAATAAAATGAAGTTCATTACAATTCCACTTGATATGAATGGTAACAAAGAACTTTGCTTAATCTTCTGGGGCTGGGTATGTACTAGAAACAACCTTCATGTAGCTTCTTCAAAGGAGAAATTTCCAGGAAGTGAATTGATTACAAAACTTGAATCTGCATGGATCCATGCTACCGGTCTTAGTTAATGGAAAGTATATATATATATATATATAATGCTCTGAGAAAAGCAAGGATATTGGAGTCTTCTCTGGCTGATAAGATAAAGAGTATTCATGTGTGTTTTACTATTCATTGTTAATAAATACAAAATTTCTTATCCAGGTTGCCGTATTTAAAACAGGAAGCACAGCAGTACAAGCTTCTATACATAGCACTTTATCTCCTAATCTGGGGAGAAGCTGCGAACTTAAGGTTTATGCCGGAATGTCTCTGCTATATATTTCACCATGTAAGCTCCAATATTCTGCCATTCACTGTTCTATATAGGTCATATTATGAAGTTAAGGAAAAAGAGACAGTGTAGACAACCTGCTTGTGGCATCTAAGTGTACTACTCAATTTTTATGCACTTCAACAATTTTACTAGCGATATCTTGATTAGCTATAGTAGCATCTGATCTTATTAAAATCTCAACTAGTTGAATGAGGGGAAAAAAAAAAAAAGAAGTTAAAATGATTGTATATAATATACTATTATAAGTTGATTGTAAGCAGTGAGATTTTTGTAATATTACACCTTCAGCAAGATGTTTCTTAAACTTAATTTCATTTGTACTGTTTTTTTCCTTTTTGTTTCTTTTTTTGTTTTTTCCCCCCTAAGATGGCCAGTGAATTGCATGCAATGCTAAGTGGTGCTGTGAGTTTGACAACTGGAGAAAGAGTCATGCCAGCATATGGAGGAGCGCATGAGGCTTTCCTAAACAATGTAGTATCCCCAATATATGAGGTTATAAGTAAGGTAGTGTGAATCTTCGACTGGTTGACTTGTGTGCTTAATTTGAAGTCTGTCTAATTCTACTTTCACTTTACTAAAGGAAGCCAAGAAAAACAGAAATGGAACTGCTAATCATTCGACATGGAGAAACTATGATGACTTGAATGAATTTTTCTGGTAAGATATGAGTTCCAGATAAGGGCTTATATTGATTTTATTTCTGATTCATCAGTGGTGATGGTTTTAAATTTTCTCACTCATGAAATTTCAGGTCTCCACTTTGCTTTGAGATAGGATGGCCCATGCGCAGTAATCATGATTTCTTTCTCGACCACCCTCCAGAAGATGACAAAAAGGAAAATGCCCAAACACCAGAAAGAACTCAAGAAGACAAACATGATGATGATGAAGTTGAAGAAATGGAAGTAAGTTAACACCTCTAAATAAAATGAAGTATCATGTTGGCTTATGTATTATTAGCTGTCATATATGTCAGAAACGCCCGGTGACATTAGCTTCGATACAATGAGTTTCTTCTATACACTCCATATTAAATAACAAGTTACATTAAAATTTGCGTTTGTTATATAACTGTGATCTGTAACCAATCCTTTTTATTTGTGGTATTTATGGGCAGCTTAACTAATTTAGATTCAGATCATGTTATTGTTTCAATTAATTTTGGCCCCTATACATGTATCTTCATTGTAATATTCAGCCCCAGGTAGAGAAACCACGGAAGCGGAGGTGGTTAGGGAAAACAAATTTTGCAGAGGTTCGTTCATTTTGGCAGATATTCAGAAGCTTTGACAGAATGTGGAGCTTCCTTATTTTATCCCTTCAGGTAAATATATGGATCTACCAGTCATGCTTTGTTAAAGGCACTGTATAGCAGGGCCCCTAATGCTAAATATTTGTTAGGCAATGATAATTATGGCATTTCATGATCTGGAATCTCCTCTCCAAGTTTTTGAGGCAACAATACTTGAGGATGTTATGAGCGTCTTCATCACTGCAGCTGTTCTTAAATTTATCCAAGGTTTGCTATTAATTTATGTGTTACCAAAAGTATTTTTATCTGAGATACCTGTTTCAGTTCATTGCTTCCCCCATTTTGCTGCACCTAGCATGTACTTAATTTCAAGTCTTAACTTGTGCTTAAGAGCATGCGAAAGTTTGGGATATTATAGATCTATACTCCTGATTTTGATCAATGCACACTTCGATAGTGGGCGTGCTACGATTAATTAACTGTATACAGTCTAGTCTACAGGTGCTGCAGTAAATCTTTCGGTAGAAAGTTTGCTAATAACTTTATACATTACCTCGAAGGTTAATATATCTTATTTCTTTAGACAGTTAAATCAATCATTCACAAAGTTATGTACTTATGTATATTTCTGCAACATTAATACAGTCTATAGCTCTCATTAATTCATTAGCAAAAATTTGCTATCCTGTAGCATTAGCAGCATTTACATCCATAATTAAAACTTGTGATTAATATTTATACCTTAACAATGAAAGCAACATCTATTTGCAGCATTTCTTGATATTATCTTCACTTGGAAAGCCCGAGAAACTATGGACTCGACTCATCGTCTGAAAAACTTGCTGAAGCTAGTGTGGGCAATGATATGGACAATTCTTCTTCCTATATTTTACTCTAGTTCTCGAAGAAAATACACCTGTTATTCTACACAAGATCAAAGTTGGCTTGGACAGTGGTGCTATTCTTCTTACATGGTAGCAGTTTCATTTTACTTGATCAGCAATGGAGTCAATATGGTCCTCTTTTTTGTGCCTGCAGCGGGGAACTATATTGAGACATCTAACATTCGATTATTTAAAGTCATGTCTTTGTGGACACAGGTAAAAGTTGAGAGTTAATCTGAATTCTTTTCACCTGTATGCGTACTGGACTAGTTTTATAATGTGTTTTAATTATACTCACTCTGCCCTATTTCATTATAAATGTCATTTTTGATATTTTCACACTTAATGCGACTTAGTAAGTGAAAATTCATAACAAGATAAAAAACCACTTAGCTTCTACAACATATTTTGTTTTCCTTATTTTATTTAGATATTATTTGATATGGATATGCTTGCCATATAAACTTTTCTATTTTTATAATAGGTCATATGTATTCTCTATAAATATTCCTCGTGATATATGAATATTTATACATTTCAGCCAATCTGTAATTTGGTCTCAAAGCTGAATGGAAGTTTTTTTTTTTTTTTTCATTGCTATCTTTCTTTGGTAGACAGTCGTAATTTATTAATGCATTTATGTGCTTATAGGCATAAAGCTTGTATTTGAAACACTCTTCATTTAGTAAAATGACATGTAAAAGAAAGCACGTGGTATATATATAAACCTCACATGGTTCAGATTTTGTATGCATAGAGTTATGAAGCTCTAAGGTATTATACTTATGTACATGATCAAATATATTACCATGTAAAGTTGTTTTTATTATCAATTTCTTCTATTTTCTTTCTGGAATGTATGTTTAGTACTTTAAATATATTCATTATTCCATCTGCTTCCGTGTGATGCTTGTCAAAATCCCCTAACTAATAATAATTATGATATTTCTTAAGTTTTTCATTTTTCTATTTATGAAACTTCTAGTTTTGACATATAATGTTGATGTTGATAAAATATTGAAAAATCTTCCCGTTTTTGTAGCCTAGGTTATACATTGGAAGAGGAATGCAAGAGAGCCAAGTTTCTCTCCTGAAGTATTCCCCTAATCTTTACTATAGTCATTTACTGGTCTATATTATTAATAGTGATTTTTTTCTTATGGGGGAAACTTTTTTTGCTTTAGGTACACATTATTTTGGGTGTTGTTATTGCTAAGCAAATTTTCATTCAGCTATACATTTGAGGTGAGTATTATCAGTTCTTCTTGGTGCTTGTACTAGGTAAGAAGCACTTGCGCTGTATATGCCTTAGATATGCAGTTGGCCCAAAAAGGATGGTAATAATTAGACTCATTTGGCAAGCAAATTTTATTGAAGTCTCACCTTTTTTTTTTAATTTAATTTTGAGTTGAGTGACTCAGTCTTATGATTGGTATGGTAGAAAGTAGGCTAATGAAGTTTTCAATGGACCCTGTTTGGAATTACAGATTAAACCACTTATTTCACCCACAAGACAAATCATGGCGATTGGGGTAAAAAACTATGATTGGCATGAGCTTTTCCCAAAGGGTAACCCCTGTTTGATCTTTTAGTGCTTATTAAACTATAAAGTAAAAATGCATGAGTTGACTTACATATTTCTATTGGTGTTATTTTATAATGTCTAGTCAAGAACAACGGTGGTGCCATTGCAGCCATTTGGTCGCCCATTATCATTGTAAGTGTCGACAGATGTAACACGTTCGAGTTTATGGAAACACATACCACCACTTTTTATCCAGTATCTTTATATTATATGATTGAGAGAGATTATCTTATGTACTTAATTTTTCAGGTATATTTCATGGATGCTCAAATATGGTATTCTGTTTACTGTTCTGTCTTTGGAGGACTTTATGGAATTTTGCATCATCTTGGTGAAGTCAGTCTTGCATGATACATTATTTATTTATTTTTTCACTAAGAACTTGAATAAGAAATTGAATGCCTTTGGTTCAAACAGATTCGTACACTGGGAATGTTGAGAAGTAAATTTGAAACGCTACCCGCGGCGTTCAATCGCTCGCTTATTCCACCCCCAACAAAAGATAATAAAGATGGTATCAAATTGTGGCTTTGTCAGCCAAACTTTCTGAAGGTACATTGTCCTAATATTCTAACTTTGTTGAGTGCTTATAATTAAGAGATGGTGACCCATTATAACTTATTTCAGGCTTTAGAGAGCAAGAAAGGTGGAGTTTTAAAGTTCGCCATTGTGTGGAATCAAATCATAAGTAGCTTTCGGGACGAGGACCTGATAAGCAACAGGTTACAAATGCCTTCCCAGGGATTTTTTTTTTTTCAATTGAATTGTTTGAAGGGAAGATAAAGTTTATAATGAGCACACAATATCGAAACAGGGAAGTGGATTTGATGATAATGCCCATATCGTCTGAATTAGTGTCTGGCCGAGTCTATTGGCCTGTTTTTCTCTTAGCAAATAAGGTAGACCTCTTAAACTCAATTTTCTCTTGCTACTTCAATAATATTTGTAAAAGTTGTTTTTCTGTTACAGTTATCAACAGCTCTTAGCATAGCACAAGATTTTCGTGGAAAATACGGCAGTCTCCTGAGAAAGATTAGAAAAGATAACTACATGTACTTGGCTGTGGCTGAATGCTATGAATCATTTAAGTACATATTGGATATTCTTGTGGTCGGTGATGTAGAGAGAAGGTAGGGTGCCATTGAACACTTTCTTTTGAATTATCCTTATATATTTATATGTATATAATATATATATATATATTCAATATTTGTCTACTTTGTGTTCAAGTTGCCACATATTTCCTATCTTTTTTTCCAATTTGTCATCCAGAGTTATATTCGGCATAGTGGAGGAACTTGAAGAGAGCATTCGAAACTCATCACTCCTGAAGGATGTACGGATGAGTCAATTACCAGTTTTACATGCTAAATGTATTGAACTGGTTGAGCTTCTGGTAATTTCTAAAGGCAAACATTTTACTGAAATGTAAAAGAACACACTGCGTCGTAGTTTTATACTCACATTTTGCTTTAATTAAGGTTGAGGGTAATGAAGATCATCATCATCAAGTTGTGAAGACTCTTCAAGATATCTTTGAGCTTGTAACCAATGATATGTTCATAAATGGTTCCAGGTTTGCTATTTTTTATATTTTATATCTCATTTATTTGTTTATTTACTTCAATTTGGCTTTCTCTTCATTTATTGACATATAAAGTTCATTAATTGACACATAAGATCACTGGATTCACTCAACACTTGCCTACAACTGGAGGAAGAAAATACAGATTTCTTTGGCTATTTTGAGCCAGAATTATTTTCCTCAAAGCATGCCATTCATTTCCCGTTGCCTGATCGTGGCCCTCTCATGGAGAAGGTATCACTAGACACTAATATAATGTTTCTACATTTTCAGTTGATAGTTTGTTTATGAAACAAGGAAATCTTCAACTTACTGTCATATTCATCTCTTCAACGACTACAGAACACTGTTCCTAATTTTACTCCTTCCATACTCAGATCAGTCTCATCTTTCTGAAATTAAAATAAAAAAATAAAAAAATAAAAAATAAAAAATTGAAGTCTATTCTTACCTGAATACTCAACCAATTTGGTAATTTACTTTAGTGTTACATATTTCGTTTGTATGCTGGCAAAAGGGATGAATGGTTCCATTTCTAAAGGAAGCAAACATGTTTGGTGATTCATATAAAGAGTATTGACTGAGCATGGTGTCAAACTTGGATGGCAGATTAAGAGGTTTCATCTACTACTTTCCGTCAAAGATAAAGCTATGTATATGCCCTCAAATCTGGAGGCTCGTAGACGAATTTCATTCTTTGCCACATCTCTCTTTATGAACATGCCTAGAGCTCCAAAAGTGCGAAGTATGCTGTCATTCAGGTGCTTTTCCGCATTTCCTACTAATTATTTCTTCAATGTTCTTGCGGCCTTTAGAGTCCATGTATATTCCATATAATTTATATTCTTGAATCTCTATAAAAGCCCATTTGTATCCCTATGATATTAGTTCTATTAACCTACCATTTCGAAATGTGATGCTTCTTTTTTTCTTCACAAATTATAAATACACACCTGCCAAAGCTTTTAGGCCTTCAACCTTGATATTTAAGCATCCATTCAGTACTAACAGATAGTGGTTGGTTGTTAGACTTATATCAGATGACATCTGTTGTTGTGACGTCATCGATTCTCTTCATTTTACAGTATATTGACTCCACATTTCATGGAAGAAGTCAAGTTCTCAAAGGCAGAACTTTATTTCAGCAAAGAAGCAGTTCCCATAAGCTATTATATGGAAAAGATCTTTCCAGGTTATTTACTAGAAAAAGGAAAATGGTTGTTTCTATACCACAAAGTAACATCCGATTCTTGTGCTCAACAATATTCTTTTATCTGGCAGACGAGTGGGAAAATTTTCTTGAGCGCCTGGGAAATGAAATTGATGAGGAAGATCTGAGAGATTGGGCTTCTTTCCGGGGACAAACACTAAGCAGGACAGGCGAGTTCCAAAATTTCATTATTTTGTCATGAACTGAATTCAGGAATGATCTACTCTTTCATAACTAACATTGTTCTCGTTTACAAAACAGTAAGGGGTATGATGTATTACCGGAAGGCATTAAAATTGCAAGCTTTTCTGGACATGGCTGAGGACGACGGTTTGTTCCTTTTGCCTCTTAAGTCTTACTTCCATCAAGTCACTATAATGCTTGAAGAATCTGCGTTTGAACAAGAAATTTTTAAGTCAATTTTATGACATATCCTGCAGATATTCTTCAAAATTATGACGCCATTGAAAGGCCAAATGATACTTTGTCAGCGCAGCTTGATGCCTTGGTAGACATGAAATTCACTCACATTGTTTCATGTCAAATGTATGGATCCCAAAAGGCTTCCGGAGATCCTCAGGCAACAGACATACTTCAGTTAATGATAAGGTAACTTCGAAGCTGAAAGATCTATTGAACATCTTGAATAGGAAATTGAATATATGTATCTATAGGTATCCGGCTTTGCGTGTTGCTTATGTCGAGGAGAAGGAAGATTTGGAGAATGGTACTCGGCCAGTATATTCCTCTGTTCTGGTCAAAGCTGTCAATGATTTTGATCAGGTGACTGTTAAGTCTAAATGACTATTAAGAGTTTCGTTATGTATAATCCATCAATTTTTAACCGGACCAGCATTTAGATGCATACGACAATCAACAACAGAAAAAATATATTATCTAGGATCATGAAGCATGGGTTAGCAAAGAGTAATAATAATTTCCCTTTCGGATCCATGATGCCGACAAAAACTTTGTTTGTTGTAGGAAATATACCGCATAAAGCTCCCCGGACCACCTAATATTGGAGAAGGAAAACCAGAAAACCAAAATCATGCAATAATTTTCACGCGTGGCGAAGCACTTCAAGCAATCGATATGAATCAAGTACTGTCAGATTTATAGTTCTCTAATTTGTTGGTCAAGTTTTCAATGGCATTAAATCTATATCCATGTAATGTTTAATTTGTTTTTACAGGATAATTATCTCGAAGAGGCTCTCAAAATGAGAAATTTGTTGCAAGAATTTCTACAAGCTCAAAGGAATCGTCCTTCTATTCTTGGAATAAGAGAGCATGTCTTTACAGGAAGGTTAGATTAGATCTTATCTTAGGATCTTTGTATGGAAGATTTCTAATTTTCGAAGTTCTAAATAATTCGACTCCTAATATCATACCATGCTGAATTGTTAAACCATAAGTAATCAGTTAATATTGTTATACTCTTCTTGGCAAGCAGAGTTGAATCAAAATGTTTATTACAGTAGAATAATTAACAGATATCATCGAAAATAAAGTAGATACTGTTACATGTGTCACTAATTATATTTCAAAACAATCCAGCGTTTCATCTTTGGCGAAGTTCATGTCCTATCAAGAAACCAGCTTTGTGACAATTGGGCAAAGACTCCTAGCAAATCCACTCAGGTAAAACATCGATATATTCACCACTGTCGACATAAGAGAAACATTTTCTACAAATGAACTTCACCCCTTACTGCTATTCTCTCACTGCAAATTGCATTCTTGTTTATGTCATAGTTTGTACTAATTTGATCTATGATACAGAGTTAGATTCCATTATGGGCATCCAGATTTGTTCGACAGGATATTTCATTTGACTCGAGGTGGAATAAGCAAGGCATCGAAGACAATCAATTTAAGCGAAGATGTGTTTGCAGGTTGTAATGAAATCAAAATCATGCTGTTGCTTAACTAATACAAGTCTTGTTATTTAAAAAATGCAACGGTATTATGCAGGCTACAATACTACATTGCGGCGAGGATATATTACGTATCACGAGTACATACAAGTTGGCAAAGGCCGCGACGTCGGATTGAACCAAATCTCCAAATTCGAAGCCAAAGTGGCAAATGGCAACAGTGAGCAAACACTTAGCCGCGATATCTATCGCCTCGGACGCCGATTCGACTTCTTTCGAATGCTTTCTTGTTACTTCACTACTGTTGGCTTCTACTTCAACAGCCTGGTAAGTTTTCCTTTCACTTATCAACAATATCCTTTATGTCGAAATCACGGTGAGTGTTATTTAATTTATTACCTGACTTTCTAGATATCTGTTATCGGAGTATATGTATTCCTCTACGGACAACTCTACCTGGTTCTCAGTGGACTTCAACGAGCGCTTCTTTTAGAGGCCCGAGTGAAAAACATTCGATCTTTGGAAACAGCATTAGCCTCACAATCATTCATCCAGCTCGGCCTCTTAACTGGTTTGCCGATGGTCATAGAAATAGGCCTCGAGAAAGGATTCCTTAACGCCATCAAAGACTTTGTTCTAATGCAGCTTCAGCTAGCCGCGGTATTCTTTACATTCTCGTACGGCACAAAAGCTCATTACTACGGACGAACAATTCTTCACGGCGGAGCTAAGTACAGGCCGACAGGGCGTAAAGTTGTCGTGTTCCATTCCAGTTTTACTGAAAACTACAGGCTGTATTCGAGGAGTCACTTTGTGAAAGGTTTCGAGCTCACACTTCTGCTGATTGTTTATGATCTTTTCCGACGATCTTACCAGAGCAGCATGGCGTATGTACTGATAACTTATGCAATCTGGTTCATGTCGATGACTTGGCTGTTCGCGCCATTTCTTTTCAATCCATCTGTGTTCGACTGGGGCCGGATCGTCGATGACTGGAAAGATTGGAACAAATGGATCAAGCAGCAGGGTGGGATCGGGATTCAGCAAGATAAAAGCTGGGAGTCGTGGTGGATCGAGGAGCAGGCGCATCTTCTTCACTCGGGGATCACTTCCCGACTGATAGAGCTGCTTTTGTCGCTAAGATTCTTTATGTATCAATACGGGTTGGTTTATCACCTCGACATATCTGGCCAGAACAAGAACTTTGTCGTCTACGTGCTCTCATGGATTGTTATAGTCGTCATCTTCCTTCTGCTCAAGGTAACTTCCTCAGCTCTCTTTCAAGATGAATTTTTTTTCCCTTTTTCTTTTTTCAGTAGATTGTAGCTCGCTGAAAATGATCGAAAGCTAAGGATATTTGATTGAATTTCGCAGGTAATGAACCTCGGCCGGCAATATCTCAGCACTACTCATCATCTGGCATTCAGACTCTTCAAAGCCTTTCTTTTCCTAGGCGTTGTCGCCACGATCATAACCCTGTCGCTCATCTGTCGTCTGTCCCTCAAGGATCTCATCGTCTGCTGTCTTGCATTTCTCCCCACTGGTTGGGGCATGATTTTGGTGAGTCCTAATTCCGCCTACACATAAAATTAATGGTAATCGAATGGTAAACCTTTCGTGAGATTTAGAAGAACAGTAATGTTCGTTGCGAGGGAGCTATGCCTTAAAAATGTTCATTTGAAAAAAAATAATAATAATAAAATAAAATAAAATAAAATAAAAAAGAGTAAAATTGCTTGTAGCTCCTATGTGTTTCAAAATTCTGCTTAAAATTTTCTTGTACTTTAAAAAATGTTGCATGAAACCTCACTCCATCCGTTATGTGATAGGAAAGATGATTTCCTATATATATATTTTGCACGGCAGAGGGGTTTTATACAATATTTTTAAAGTATAAGGGGCCTTAATGAAATTTTTTTTAAATAAATTGGAGATTTACACATCCGTTATGTGATAGGAAAGATGATTTTCTATATATATATTTTGCACGGCAGAGGGGTTTTATACAATATTTTTAAAGTATAAGGGGCGTTAATGAAATTTTTTTTAAGTAAATTGGAGATTTACATTGAGTTTCAAACTCAATAACCACATAGGGATTTCATGCAACGGTCTTGAAAGTATAAGAGATTCTATGCAATTTTTAAAGTAAACGGGGGATTAACGCTGAGTTTCAAAATTACAAGAGAGTTATGACAATTTTGTGACGAAAGAATGTTGGATACAAATTGCATGAATTAGTGAGTCCTAATTCTAGCGAAGTTAAAGACTGTTGCCCACTAAAATCCTATTGATTAACACTGCATTGTTCATGTAATGTGATGGGATGGGATGGGAGCAGGTGGCGCAGGCGTTGAGGCCGTTGATCGGGGGGACGGGGCTGTGGCATTTCGCGAAGGTGTTTGCGCGGGCGTATGATTATGGGATGGCAGTAGTTCTGTTTGCACCCATAGCTGTGTTAGCTTGGCTGCCCATAATCTCAGCCTTCCAAACCAGGGTCCTTTTCAACGAAGCATTCAGTCGAAGGTTGCAGATTCAGAGAATTCTTCCTGGAAAGCTCAAGCGCAGGACCTCCTGATTCCAATTCCATGGCTTTACTTGCATAACAGTGTATATATATATATGTATGTATGTATTTATGTGTATGTTAGAAAATTCAACTTATTGGTTCATGTTGTATAAAACAATCACAAAGTCTACAGGTTTATTTGAATTTAATTAATTTTCTTAGAGCCCCACGGGAATATTATTTTAAATACAAAATAATATTACAAAACTAAATTAAATATTCTCAAACCAACCAAAAGAATAAAAAAAAGAAGAAACAAATTCATTGCTACATATATCCATCCAAAGATCATAACTTGCAGAAGAACTATTCTTAAAGTATTGCTATTCCATCCCAAACTTTGATGGATAGCAAAACCACCATTAACTACCCACCTAATATACATATATGTAGAACTAGACATAGACATACTGTATAAACTATAAACAAGCATGCATGTATGTATAAAATATATATATATATATATATGTGTACCTTGTAATTTGTATCCACTTTCAAGATTGGAGGAATTACCCATCTTTATGCTTATATCATTCATTTTCACAAATTACCAGACTTGGCAATGGCATCATCATATTCACTAGCCACCATTGCTGCTTCTGCTGCTTGTGCTATTTCTCCAAGTACATTTTCCTTACCTGAACTGTTTCCAGATACCACCACCTCTGCTTTACCTATCACATCATCCTTCAACTTCAAAGAATCATTATTATGCAAAACCGGTACCGATGCCGGCGCAACAACAGCGGTTGCCGCGCCAGAACCAGGCAAAGCAGCTTCGGCAAGCTCCGTGTCCGTACAAGACGATGAATTGTCGTCATCATCATCAGAAGCATTGGGCCCGGGACGCGTGTATCTACCAGTGGGAAATGATCTCGACTGCGCATTGTGCTTCTTTGTTCGTTTCCGGGAGAGAACAGACTTCAACTCCCGCGCTGATTTCCCAGCTTGTTTCAGCATGTTCTTGGCCCTGTGCTTCACATTCCCATGTGGGTTTTCTGACACATTTTTGTCAAAGTCGTAATCTTTTGGCAGCTCTGTTTCTCTAATAGTGTCCTGGGGAAATTGTTCGGAGGGTGATGTTTTGTCCTCAACCCCCGGACCCTTGTCCTTGTGGAACATTGAACCGATCTTTTTCAGCCCTCGCCGCATTTGCTTCTTTGATTTCTGCTTCAGAGATTCTGCATTTTCATCACTGCTACTGCTGCTGCTATCATCATCTTCACCAATGTCGCCCTTAACGTGTGGGCTAAGGTTATGAGACGAATCCCGGCTCCTGCTTTTACCCTCCCTTGGTTCCCAAACTTGCCCTACATCACTACCTGGATGTTGAATCCAAATTCCAGTGTCCTCTTGCCCTTCAATGTTGACTGGCTCAAATTTATCTTCAACTTCTGGGGACTGCTCTGGCATTCTTGGTGAGGAGGCTTTCTGGGAAAGATAGTCCGACTCTTTCTTAGACTCAGCTTCAGAGTATGTTGGTGTCGGATCAGCCTCAAAAGAAACTCGTTTATGATTGGCATTGGAGCCTCGTGCACTTGACAAAGGTTCCGTGGCCTGTTTCAACATTAAATGATTTTAGCACAAGAGAATGTAAAAGATAGTTGACGATATCCAGCAGCTAGTAAACCTATCGACGATAGAAATGTCTTCGGATTTTGGACTTATCCCAAAGAAACAGGTTATATAAGCATTTAGTAAATAACCACATCCACCAGTTTTAGAATTCAATACACTGAAAAACTTCGAATAGTGCATACCACCACTATAAATAACAAGAAAACTAATATAAGACACCGGTCAAAAAAAGAAAAGTAATATAAGACTATCCTTATGATTTCTTCTCACAAGGTTCACTGCATAGCCACCAATCTCAGGTTGTCATTTAAAATATCTTTAAAACTCCTTGCAGCGTAGCTGCAATGCTATCACAAAAGCTGTTCACAGGCAGAAAGTTGATGACAAAACCATTCTCAGGTTTTCAGGTGTCATTCTATTGCTACATGTAAAAACCCCTTCAATTTTAGCACTCACAATAAGGGTTGCTAGTCCTTTCTCAAATTTTGCCTTTCCACGACGTAGCCTCAGTTTCACTTTTACACCTATGCCCTTGGCATGCTTCCGAGTGTACTCTGTCTTCTTACCATTATAAGGGCAAATTGAAATCATTATTTAACCACCTATCTTCTTTTGGACAATCGATAATCACAGCCTAGTTAAGGATGAATATACAAGAAATCGTGCATATTATATACTTACCACATAATAGATACATAAATACAAAAATTTTACTTATTTCTCAAGCACGCATGTGCCGATTGGATGGAGATTAACATCATGCAGCTTGCCATATATGATACAAAATTTGCCAATAGCCTGAAATATTCTTCGTCAAAACTTTTTCCTACGCATCCTAGGTTTTTCAAAAGAACTCCCCAAGCATAGCATTCTAAAATTTCAACCATATCCCGAATGATTTAATCAGGAAAAATCTTATTCAATATTTGTCACTAGACATGCACAACACAAAATACCTAATCTATTCTCAGACTTAATTTTTATAATTCCTTTTACCCAACTTTAATAAGTGCCAGGCTCAACTGAACCAACTGAAAAAAAAAAAAAAAAAAAAATCTATTAATTTCAAGAAATAAAAGTGAATATATTCAACTGACTTGACACATTACATGTTTGTCGTATCAAGTAAAATGCATTGGATTGTGTGTGGACAAGTTGGCAATGCACAGGCATGTTAACAACATCTTTACAAGTAAAAATTTGTAAACTACAAAGGCAGATAGTGTAAATTTGAGTACAAACTAAAAATTCAGATTATTTTCATTATTCAAAAAGTAAAACTTCAAACAAATGAGAAAAAAATTATGCAAAGATTCTTAAATGTCATTGATTTTGCTTAAGGGACACAAGAAAGTGTAACATCAAAACCTAAACACATTTAATTTACATAGGGTTCCAAATCCAACGACTAAGATATAAAAACTCTAGCAAAGACCAATAAATGCATTGTTGGATATAAAATGAAGTATAAATCGATCAAATCACTAGATTTACAAGGATACCTTTCCATTAGCTTCAGATACAGTTACTGCAACATGCAATCTTCCCATTTTAATGTTCTGGAGAGGCAGCCACATGTCATGCCTTCGTCCATCCTTAAGCTCATTGATGCTTACACAACATTTTCTGCATAACTTGCACAAAATGTCAGAAAAAGAAAGCTAAACTTTGAATAAATCTAATAAATGCAAATATGCTATCAGGATCATACAAGTGGGGAAAAAAATCTAGTCAATGGCAGTCAATACAACAAATTATCACAGCAATATTAAAGATATAGAGTTGAAAATTCCAAAAAAGAGAGATTTTTGCAGGATATAAATCAAAGGCAGTTCAAAGAAAAATTGCAGAGTAGAAAAAAGTTTTAAAACCAAACAAAGCTAACACACACTTCTCAATATATATCCATGTATCAGCAAGACAGTAAAATAATATACGAGGAATCTCAATCGTTGAATAGTATATCAAATAAAATCAAAGGAAAATATGTCTTCCAAAGGCAAAGCTTTAAAGGAAGAAACGACAAACATAATCAAGAACTCCGGAAAAAATTACCCCATCATATCATCAAATACATGGTCCTTATCACGAACGTCAAGGACAAGAATGTTGAGTGCATCCCATGAGCAGATAGGGATCTTGAATTCCTCAAGCCATTTTGGTGCCAAAGTTTTCTTCTGAATTTTAGTTTCAAATCGGAAAGGCCCGAGTTGTCCCTTTACATATGGGTCAGCCAACCCTGATAGACCACCATTCAGTTTAATACAGCATACTGTAACCATTCACAAAATAATACTTTCAAAACTTACCATTCAAGTCAGATGGCTTCATTTCAGCACCTTCAATAACTTCCACAATAACATTGGCAACAGCTTCCTTTGCATCAATAGAGAACCAATTTTCTGAGAATATACGCAGTAAGGTTAACTGAACAAAATTATTGGAAGAATTAGAACATAAATGATACAATATCACTCCTAAGACCTCGATTATCATTCATGAGGATGGATGTTCCATCATGGATGACTAGTTATAAAAATGATGTAAAAATCACCGAGGCATGAGTCAAATTTCAAAGATCAAAATGAGAAATAGGTCAATGACTGAAGCTCATTTAAAATTAGCATAAATGGAGTAAAACACATGCAAGAAGATATCAATATTCAGAATACCTGGCTGGGGTGAGACAAACTTTTCAACATCAACCACCAACATATTAGGCTGGGAAAGTTACAGATATTAGTTACTAATCAACATCTTGTTGAAACATGTGAAAACCGAAGAAGATATTGTAACGTTGGGGATTCAACTATATGGTTTCTATAAAATGCTTGATGATATTTCCCTAGCAGTGGATAAAGGAAAATTGAAATCCATCTCACCTCTACCAGAGTTTGTTCAAAAACAAGGGCCAGGAGATTATCCTAAAAAATGAACAAAATATGTCAGATACAATTAAGGTCAAATAAATGGTCTCTAATGGAAATAGTTCACACACAAACTTTTGAAAAACCAATTTCCATATGTTCTCATATTAAGCTCCTTCCTCAGTTTTCAACCAAGCTTTAAGCACAATATTTAACTTGATTATTGACTGAACTGACTTTTGATCCATGAACACTTGAGTTTATTTAACAAAATACTTTATATTATTTGAACTGAGCTAAAGAAAATAGTATTTGGAATGGTCATAGGTTTATGTACTTACTATCCAGCCAGATATCCCGGGAACTTCTGTTACATCAAGGCCATGAGAGAACATTGGCTTAACCGTCATTTGAAAATATGGCGGCGCAGCAAAGCAGACACGCAGGCGACCAATGAAAGGCCACTCACGAAGAAATTTTACTCCAACTAACACCTGCGAAGAAGATTTTGCATAACTATTACTGATGCATTCAATACAGAGTAACATTAATTTAATTAACAAATATAACTAACATTATATCATTTCATAATAGCCTCAAAGAGCATACAGATAACTTTTGCAGTTAGAGAAAATATGGTTTTGAGATGATATTCCAATGTACACTTTTCACATGTTTGAGCAAAAAGAAATTTTGACTTTACTATACTTGAAGAAATAATAGAGGTTAATGCAAATATGCGGATTCAAAGGTTGCATTGTTAAAGAAACAATTTATATACTTCAGAAAACAAACAGGTTAAAGAAACGAACTAAATTAAAGGTTGCAGTGAAGCATCAAGTTTCTCTAACTTACCTTCCCCTCAATATGCATGCCCAGCAAATGCAACTTTGCCCACATTCCAAAACCCAGTCTTTTCCTCAATTTCACACCCAGTATTGCACTCATATCATCAGCTGTCCGAAAATTCATTCCTATTTCCAGAACCTGGCAATATACAAATATTATCACGCTATTCTAGTCTATGAACAAGTATTGCAGAATCCAATTTATGCTCCATAACACCACTATGCCACGGCTTACCAAGTGATCATCACTACTGGAGTTCTGAAGAACCCTAATTTCAGTAATCATAGGAGGGGATCTTCCCAGATAAAAATGCTGAATCTCAATATCTTTCTGAAAATAGAGGGAAAAATATTTCTCTTCAAAAACCAGAAATAAGATATGCCACCATATGTACAGGAAGTCAGTTAACCACAATGAGATTGCCTTCGAATTTTAAATAGAATATATATATATATATACGAAAGCCGCTGCTTGTCAGTATAAAAAAAGTATAGCATACAACACGAGTCAGTATGGTCAATGGGAACAAGCCAAGCCACCACCCAGAATGAAGGGGATGGTTTCAGCTCATACCGCCGTCCAAGGTTTATATTTTTTCAGGAACCATGGGGCAACAGGAAGAAGTATCTTCTGAGAAACTATCTCTTCCATGCACACAAGCCACATCTTCTCAACAGCATGGTTCAACCATCTAACGGTTTCAGAATCCAAAAGCACCTTCAAAAAATACACAAGGTATGAAGATAATTGAAGGCACTTCATCAAATGAATTAAGAAACTTAACCTCTCCATTAAGAGAAATATAGAAACTAATAAAGAAAAAAGAAACTCATATAAGATCAGTTGAACAGAACAAGTAATAAGAGGAGCAAAATCCAGGGCTAAAACGCAGCCAATGACATGTTTGTATAAATGAAACTTTCAACCAACCCTAAACATGTCATTTACTTGCCTACTGATTTCAAAATCTCAGGAATATCAATTTATTGATGCTATGAATGCCAAAGACAACACATGATAAATATATATATATATATTTCTCTTTCGTTACCTTTCTTGATACCTCTTCGCAGTAAAAATAGGCTTAACAAAAAGGGATATCGATACCAGAATTTTCATTTCTATTTTTATTTTTTATTTTTTTTCAAGAAAGAGGAAAGTGGAACTTTTCTTCAAATGTAAGTTGAATAGACTTATCATTTACCCGTTTCTGATTGGCATCTCTCTTTTCTTCGAACTGTAGTTTCTTTCTCAGTCTCAGAACATACCCTTCATGAACCTTCAATTTGCGCAAATAATCACTAAAATCCCTCGCAATAATCATTCGCCAAATGGATCTTCGAAAAGACAAACAGCAAAACAACGAAAAACTTACGAGATAAAGATATATGAGCGAGACAAAATAAGCAACAGGGTGACAACAATCATATGAATTGAGAAGCCACAGCGAAATCAAGACGATGGACACATGATGCAGAATCGTCGCGTCAGTTATGCTACCCATCTCCGCAAACAAAATCACGAAACTTCCACCGAAAACTACTCACGGATCAAATAACTGCCATAAAACCACCCAAATCACTCGCATCAAATTCTGGTCCATCGCGCAGCATCATAGCCCCATTCATCACGATTTCAAACAAACAAACAACCAACACAGAGATACAAACGTGAGCAGAAAAGAATTTTTTCACTCGATTTCTCGCAGACGACAGGCGGCCAGTCGGCGCGGCGAGGCCGTACAGAGGGGAGTGGCAGTGATGTAATATTCCGATAGGTACAGGCCATTTGAAGGAGAAGCGGTTGTACTTTATAGCAATCCTTTTCTGCCGGTCGAACTCGACCGTCCGGTTGAACCGGTACGGTTAGCCCGTGTACAGGTGTCGCCACGTGTCAAGGCTACATTTGAAATGTTTGCAACAATCGAGACGCCATATCGTAGGTTCAGAAGAGTGCCGTTTAAATTGATTAATGGGTACGGATAACGTTGTAAGCGTGTGTTTGTTTGGGGTTTTATTTAGGGTTTGGATTTTGAATTGAGATATGAATAGTAAAAAATTTGAATTGAAATAATTGTATAATATGATATAAATATGGATTGATGTGATATTTTAAATTTAAATTAATTTTATATATAATATAAAAAAATAAAAAATATATGTTTAATTTAATATTTTTTTAAAAGAATTGTATGAATACTATAAATCCATCAAAATCCTTCGAACAGACAAACCCTAAATTTATCTCTATTCTTATATACAGATCTGAAATTCAGCACTTGTGCTAAATACTTAAAATATTAATTACATTAATTTAGTTTATTAAATAATATAATTATATAAATTAAAATATATTCCAATATTTGATCTGGTCTTACTTATATATATTTTATTTTTTTTTTACAAAGACTGATCTGGTCTTACTTATATATATTTTATTTTTTTTTACAAAGACTAAGAGTGTGTTTCTCCGGCTCTGTTATGGATTGAATGACTGTGCAATATTAATTCAGCCCAAAATTGGGTCGGAGGAATTCGGGGGACGCTCTGTCTTTTATGTCTTTTTTTAATTATAAATATAAAAATAATTTATAATAATTATAATTTAATTAAATATATAATATATATATATTATTTTATAAAAAAATTTTATAATACAAATGAATAGAAATTTAAAAATATATAAATATAATATAAATTTATAATTAAATTATACAAATTAATATATATTTATATTAATATATTATAACAATCAAATTAATACACATTAAAACTCTTCAAATCCAACCAAACTTAACCATAAAAGAAATATCAAAATTTAAATTCATCTTAAAATTAAAATAAAAATAAAAATCAAACCCAAATTTAAATTTTTTCAAACTTCCCTAAAGAAACGCACCAGAATTATAATATATTTTCAAGTTCAACCAATTGCTTTAAAGTTTCTTCTTGCCAAAATTTTTATCAAGTTGTCTCAAACTTTTAATAATTTTAATGCTCACTTTATTTAAGAATATAGTACATTTTCAAACATATTTAATTTCTTTTGAATAATTTGAACATCTACTTCATCATTTAAAAGTCTCAAACTTAAATTAATGGACTACTTTTGAAAACAAACAAATTTCTGAGGTGTGTTTGGCTGTTTTAAGGTATTCATCTACTATGTTTTGGTTAAAAAATAATATATTGAATATATATATATATATTTTTAGTTTTTTTTGTTATTTAAAATCTTATAACCGAGATTTACTTCATATACTCTCTCCATCCCAAAATTATAGTTTTAATTGGATTTTGCACGAGATTTAAGGAATATTGATATTATATTGGTAGTTGGTAAAAAGTATAGATAAAAGATTTTTTTTGCCCCTGTGAGTGTATTAGTGTAAAAAATAGTGGTAATTGTGTAATAAAATGAAAAAGTAGGGGTAATTTGATGGTGATATGGTTATTTATGTAAATAAGACTATTGTTTTAAGACGTACAAAAATGGTAAACAAAACTATTGTATTGGGACGAAGGAAATATTTCTTTTAATTATTCAATTTTTCAAAAATTTCATTATTTAACACTTATTTTTTTATTAAAGAAATTCACATATAACAATATTTTCATCCAAAAATATGGCATATATATAAATAAATAAAATAGAAAATAATATAATAATACTATTTAAATTCAAAGTCAAATAAAAATCAAACAAACCCTTAATATTACATATCTATTCCAAACTCGGAGTATTTTAATCATATTTTAATCATATTTTATAAATGTAAATAAAAAATAAGATAAAATAGTAAAATATTATTAAAATCAAATTATTTAAAATAATTGCACCATAATACGTAATAAATGTTAATAAAAAATGAAAAAAGTTAATTAATAAACTTTAATAAAATATAAAAATGGTTTGCAACAAATTCTGGCCCCATATGAATGTCGGCCGATGAATGATATCACTTTCTAGCTTGAGTTTTGTCTCCAATCCATCGAAATTTTATTGCTTTTCTCATTGTTAGTATTGCTATTTTTTTAATGGATACTTTAATAATGATGTTAAAATATAGGAAAAAAATTATTTTTGGTCCCACTATAACCAAAATTGATGAATTTTGGTCGGAATATAAAAATTTTATCAATTTTGGTCCTAATATAACCAAAACTCATCATTTTTTATCTCAATATAACCAAAATTCATCATTTTTTGTTCAGATATAATTTTTTTTTTAATCAATTGTAGTCCCAATATAAGTAAACCTTATCTTTTTTTGATATCACTACCAACAAATCGATGAAAAATACTAACGTAGACTATAAATAAAATAAAAAAACATTGAATCGATAAAAAACATCGATATTTTACCTCTGTGAATTTTTACTGCTGGTTCCGCTAGTTCTTCATATATACATATTTATTGACAGACACATATGAGGAGGCAGCTGAAGCTTATGATATAGCAGCCATCAAGTTTCGGGGAGTCGGGGCAGTCACGAACTACGACATTTCACAATACAACGTGGCCAAGATCATGGCGACCAGAGCTCTTCCGATAGGCGGTGGCGAGACCATGAGGCAGGCCAAAGATAACGCCGCCGCCACCGCAGCAGAGCTTTGGTCGACAGTTCGTCGGATTCCGTCGTCTTTGTGTTGCGACCATTAGAGCATCGATGATTCCGGCGTTGGCAAGGATCGACATCCCGGATTTTCGGACACCTTGCATGATTTTATCGCCGTCGGGATGAATCCCGTTTTCGCTTCGCGGAACGACGCTTGAATTCGTGTAATAAAAATGATTGTGACCAAAAAAGATAAAGTTTGATTATATTGGGACAAAAAATGGTGAATTTTGGTTATATTGAGACTAAAATTTATAAAAAAAAAAAATTTATTGAGACCAAAAATAATGAGTTTTGGTTATATTGAGACCAAAATTAATAAAATTTTTATATTATGATCAAAATTGATGAATTTTGGTTATATTTGGACCAAAAATAATTTTTTCCCTAAAATATATTATAGCCATTATTAGGTGGAAATTATATTATATATAGTTTTTTTTTTTATGATTTTATAAAATTTTGTACTAGTCTCTTTTCTATTTTGAAATATTGTTTGATGTCTATTTATATTTTTATAACTCTAGAACATTCTATAACTTAAATTTTAATATAATGGAGATATTATATAGAGATCTATCGAAGAGTTAGTGTCGATGGTATGGACAAATTTTTAACTTCATCAAAATGTGTAAAAGATTCTAGTCGCACTTAAAAGCCGAGTACTCTATCGTTAAGTTAGAAACCAAAGAATAAACTCAAATTTTGTAAACTACTTTAATCTATATTAAAGTTAAAGCGATTACAATTGGAGAAAAATAAAACTCAAAAAAATTAAAAATAAAATTTCAGTTCAAAATTGCATAGCCTTGGAAAAAAATAGCAAAATTAGCTTCGTTAACTATCAGATCAAGTTAAAAGTTTTAGAAAATATTCATGATCCGTTATTTTTTCAATCCAATAGTGAGATTTTCGATCTAAAGTTTTTAGTTCGAGCAAAAATATATATATATATATATAAATAGCAGAACTTTCGGGGGTTTGTTGTTTCCATATGTTGATTCTTGTTGAATTTATGGTATTCATAGATTGATTGATTGATAATTGAAGCGTGTTTATATGAATTTTTAGAGGATTTTAGTATCCTATTTTAATACAACGAATTTTCTTCTTTGGTCTGAGTTTATTTATTTATTCTAAAGTATATACTTATTTAGGCTGCGCTTAAATAATTTTTAGAAATATTTTGAAGTTTCGGTGAATATTGAGAATGTTAAAATATTAAATAATATATAAACATTTGATGTGAGATGTGAAGGTTTTGTGTAAAAGATATAATTTTGATGTATTATTTTAAATAAAAGTTAAATTTCAAATATAACATCTTTTCAAATATGTATTGTTGGCAAATAGTAGAAAAATAATTTTAAAATATATGTAAAAAAAAAAAACTTTTTGAAATAATTGCACTTTGAAAGAACTCTAGTTGCTGTTGTACAAAATTGAAAAAATATTTCTCATATAGACAAAGTGTAATTAATTTAAAATTCATAATTTACATAGATTAAAGGTTGTTGGGACTAGAGCGGTTAACGATCCGAGTCGAGCCGAGCCGAGCTAAATTTTAAGTGTTCGTTAACGTTTGCGAACAAGGCTCGTGTTCGTTCGTTGAGCTTTCGAGTTCGTTCGTAGTGTTCGAGCTCGACTCGTAGTGTTCGAGCTCGACTCGTTAAGAATTTTTATTGTTTGAGCTCGTGTTCGTGTTCGGCTCGTTTAGGCTCTATTAAGCTCGTTCGAGCTCGTTTGTCTTATTTTTTAAAATTTATATATAAATTATAAAAAAAATTTCAAATTATTTTATTTATATATTTTAAATTAATATTTATTTATTTATAAATTATAATTTTATATGTATATATAATATTTATAATAAATATATTATTTAAACGAACGTTCGCGAATAAAGCTCGGGCTCGATAGTTAATCAAACGAGTTTGTTTATGTTGTTCGCCTCGACTCATTAACGTTCGTGAACGAGCTTTAACTGAGTCGAATCAAGCCGAACGTCGTTTAACAGCTCTAGTTGGGACTAGGAGGAGAGAATGTGGTTAAAAGGATTCAATAACAAGATTGATAACCAAGGATGATGTAAGGATCATGGTAACATTTATTATAAATGAAAATGATCATAGGTTAAAATGATTTAATAACAAAATTGTCGATTGCAAAATCAAGAATTAATTTTCTTAACTAGTTTGACATCAATCTATATTTGTGAGTTACAATTAATGTAATTATAAAAAATTAGATCAGAACGTATTTGAAAAATAAAATAATTAATTTATCTTTATTTGTAATCTAGTTTCAATTTTTTTAACTAAGTAAGATTGATGATTTTTTATAAAAATATATTATTTTTTTCCTAAAATATCAAATTCAAACTACTGTTTAAATCATAATTCAAGTTTAAAATACAATATCAAATCTAAGTAAAAAAATCCTTTCTTCGGATCCACCTGCCACACATGGTTCACTTAGTGTAACTTATTTAGTAGTACTTAGTTTGCAGGTTTGATGTTGAGACAAGACCAACTCATATGATATTGTCTGTTTTGAATTGAGCCCGTACGGATTTGTTTTTGGATTTTCTCCAAAAGATCTCATACTAGTGGAGTTTACGTGGAACGTGTGTGAATTTTTCTTCGCATCTTCCAATGTAGAATTTGAGTTTGGACCCACCAAACCTCCCCTCAAACTAAGGACCAACTTATGGGCCTTCTCTGTCTCGTTGCACCGCCTAATACAAAGAAACTCGTTGTCTCATCAACCATATCTGTCGGGATCGACCAAACACTACTAGGAGACGTTCGACACAAGACACTTCTGCAGGTAACGAGGGAGAGTCCACCACCACCACCACTACCACCAATGTCTAATGGCACCAAATCCACTTTACCATCCTAGAACCTTGAAGCTCGACATCAAAATGGATTTATGAGAAAAACCTCAAAACACATAAATGAACAAATAAACTACATGGAGGCTGTGCAACTCTATCATATAGGAAAATCAATTCTCTTGGTTTAAGTTATTATACACATACATGTGTGTGTGACACAAAAATACAATGATTTATTTATTAAGTAATATGTTTTTTTGAGAAGGCCAGAAACGAAATCAATATTGTGGTTAAAAACAGCAGGCAGAATAAAATATCTAAGTATTATCTATGAAAGAAAAGACGATATCCGACATGGAAGAGTTCTATTTGACAGTAGGATCCCAACTTTATCTCTTCTTCCATCCCCACTTCTTCTGCACCACAATTAATCATTCTTCGCCCCTTATTTTTGCACCCCCTCTTGATTAACTAAATTCTCCATTTCCAGAATCCCAAAATTATGGCAGCCCAGGCCCTCGTCTCTTCCTCCTCTATCTGCTCCTCAGCCGACGCCGTCCGGCAGACCCTCGCCGGACGCCCCCTCCGCTCCACCCGGAAGGCCTCCTTTGTCGTCAAGGCCGAGTCCACTCCTCCCGTCAAGGTACTCTCACACACACACACACTCTCATACATATATATATATATATATATATGAAATTGATGTGTAATTTTATGGTGATCGATGATTTTCAGCAAGGAGCCAACAGGCAGCTGTGGTTTGCGTCGAAGCAAAGTCTGTCGTATTTGGATGGAAGGTAATTAGAACATATATCTATATATTTTGTCACTACTTAAGTAAATTTGGTATATTGTAATGTGGTGTTTCTTCTTCAGCCTTCCCGGCGACTATGGATTCGACCCGCTGGGGCTGTCGGATCCGGAGGGCGCCGGAATGTGGTTCCAGCCGCGGTGGCTAACCTACGGCGAGATCTTCAACGGGCGTACGGCGATGGTGGGGATAATCGGGTGTCTGGCGCCGGAAATCCTCGGCCAGGCGGGGCTGATTCCGCCGGAGACGGCGCTGCCGTGGTTCAAGACGGGAGTGTTCCCGCCGGCGGGGTCGTACCAATACTGGGCCGACCCGTATACCCTGTTCGTATTCGAGTTGGGTCTGGTCGGGTTTGCGGAGCACCGGCGGTACCAGGACTGGGCCAACCCGGGTTCTATGGGGAAGCAGTACTTTCTAGGGCTGGAGAAGGGGCTTGGCGGGTCGGGTAACCCGATATACCCGGGCGGGCCGTTCTTCAACCCGCTGGGATTTGGGAAGGACGAGAAGTCATTGATGGATTATAAGGTGAAGGAGGTGAAGAATGGCAGGCTGGCTATGCTGGCAATGCTCGGCCTGTTTATTCAGGCGCCGGTCACCGGCGTCGGCCCCTGGCAGAATCTTCTGGATCATTTGGCTGATCCATTCAACAACAATATCTTTACAAACCTCAAATTCCCATGGTAAATTAAGATCTGTATATGTATGTATGTATGAACTCCGGGGGTGTGCGACTCGATCTAATCCTTCTTCTTGTCGTCGATCTTGTATCAAATTGGTGACTTCGATCCTCCATAATCCATATCGTGCATAGTTTACTGCTTTAGAGCCTCCATTGATGTGTTTGTACTTAGTGTTCGACTACGTTGAAGAATGTAGATATTATATAAACCAAATTGGTGGCTTAAAATTATTACTCGATCCTCAAGAAAATTATCCTGGTTGAGTTAGACGAGACGATTACATATTGAACGTAAGTAAATTAGATTAAGAAAAGAAAACATAATGCAATAAATTGTTTATCTACTACCTATGTCTCGAGAACCAAAAGTAGACACATTTATTATACTTTTGTTACAGAAACTAAGAAATCAAGAACAATCAAGAATATACAAGAACATAAGGTTTATTCATTCATTCAGTTCGATTAATATAATCTACCTCTAGGGACGGTCAAATCAAATATTTTCACTAGTATTTTTAAGTATTAATTACAGAGAGAATACATCAAACATATATAAAAGTGTAAGTCAAAGTTCTAGCTCGATCGACGCTCAAGGGCTAAATGTATAATACCTCTCTAACTCCAATTTGGATATTACAACATCATACTCATACTTCACTTCAACTTCAGTACTTTGTGTCAACGCTATTTCTGTCTTGCACACAATTAGTTATTTCTATAGTTATTTCTATTAAAATATCATACACGTTAGTACCATGGTTATTACCTCAAGTTTTCATCAAGTGTTTCCATACATAAAATTTTTTTACTGTGGAATACTAAGTTTTTATATTGTTGAAGTAGCCTGTTACATGCTGGTTAGTAGCATCAAAACAATTAAAGGAGCACAAGCAACAAAAAAAAAAGAAAAAAAATAACTAGAGCAACGGAAGAAAACAACTCCAATATAGATCTACAAAGAAGAGATCGAAACAAACTCTGATACGATGTTAGATATTATAAACCAAAGATATAAAAAGAATAGAAAGTTCGAGTAAAGTATACCTACATGCGATTCAAGTTTATTGAACAATCAAAGGTATAGAAGGTGACAAAATTGAAGTGTTTTCATCTCATTTCCAAAAGAATAATAATAATAATAAATCAAACAACAAATGAGTCATCCTTGAGCAAGAACAACGTTACACAAAATGTTAGGACAACCAAGTTAACACCACAAATATAGCAATAGGCATAATTAAGGGAACAATACCCCAATTTAGAACTCAAAATAGTTGTATCAGATGCCTTTATAGCATTGCTCATCCTTAACCTTGTCTACCAGATACAAGTATCACTAACAACAATCAACCAACTGAGAACAATAACCTGTAAGAGATTAAAAGTGGAAGAAAGTAGAAAATAAATAGTGAGGGATTGAAAAAGAAAGCATGGTAAAAGAAACTCTAGTGCGAAGACCGAAGGAGGTCATGTAAGAATGCTGGTGGTCCAAGACAGTCAAAGTGACTACTAGGGCGTGAATCGTGTGTGAAATCAGAGTGATGATAGGTATGGTAAACATGCTAATGAACATTTTATATTGTATCCTCAATGGGTCAATTCTATTTCAATAACAATTGAGCCGAGCCTAAAAACACATATAACATTAAAGAGTAATGACTATGAGTGAAACTCATAGTTTAACATAAACAAAAAGATGAATTTAAAATCTTCAAAAGTTGTCAAGATTGGCAAGAATGACAATAATTTCGTTATTCAAAGTGATAGTAGGGTTGTGTAGATAGTAATGTTGCCATCATTAATTTTAATCGATGAATATATTCATCTGTAACCTTTATATCCCATTTATGGTGTAACTTTTGCCACTCTACCTCTCATAACTCATACTTTATGTGCAATTCTAATAAGGTTTTTTCCATGGGCTTCAACCATGTCTTTTGTCCAATGAGTCATTTTGTGTGTTTCTTTGCATATTTGGTGAGATTCCATCGATAAAATTTTAGTAACTTTGATATTTTTCTTGGTTGGGGTTAAGTTGATTCAACATTTACATTTTAGGATTTGTTTTGGTGTTTGATGGCCGTTTCTGGAGCCGGTGCTCCCTAAACAAAGTCACCGTTACCAATTAATAATGCCGAGAGTTTTAGCATAAAAGAAAGGCTTTAATGTTGATTTTTTTAAATTTTTTTTTTTTGTTGTTCTTCCTCCATAGTGTTTGTTTTACAAATCCAAAAACTTTATAGTTACAAATTAATACAATTTCAATCCATATATATTGAATACTACAAAATATAACCCCCAAAGGCAACATAAAATTCTCTTGAATCATTAAGATCATTTTCACCTACCTTGGAGAGGTTTTCCACATTATCAAAAAAGCTTCTAAAGTCTACCTTAGCCAGGCCTAGATGAAGGGTTTTGATTAGAGCAACAATATCAATTATGTAGTTGAGGTCATCCAGATAGTCGGTAACTGATATGCGCTTAACGGTTTTTAGTTTCTTTGTCCAACAACCAATTCAGGCCACTACATCGTGCAATTGATAATTTTTAAGCATTCTAACAACAAAAGAGATTATGTATGATCATTTGCAGCCTCGGATAGTTCATAAAAAAATGTTGATAAAGTGTCTCCAACCTATAGATTATTATTGTATACCATTAGAATGACACTTGATACCTTGCCCCTTCCCTTCCCCACCCCTTCATGCCCCACACACGCGTTTAATATATACACAATGTGAGAGGGACAAAGGCTTGGTACAAAGGGCAGGAGATTCTATGCTTATAGGAATGATGCTCGATGAGATTCATTTATTCTTATTCTTTCTTGAATGTTCACCAAAATATAAATTGCAAAATTAATTCTATGTGAGGAGAGTTTATTAAGAAGCCCTCTTTATAATGAAGTAATGTGCAACTTTTCTTTGAGGAACATTCAAAAGACACACAACAATGTATATATTCCTTAACTGATTTAATTACATTTTTTTAAAACCTCAATCTTTTTAGACTTAACTAAATCTAGCCATTTGGTGTCAGGAATGAAGCCTCAAGCCTTATGTCACAGGAATGAACTTAGCCATCATTCCAAGTACATACAATAACCTACGTGTGGAGGTTGCAAATACTCATACACAATATCTTTTGTTACTGCAGTTCTTAGAAATTACTCATTTCAAGATTTTGTGGCTTGAATTGGCTTATGGGAAAAGGAACTACAAACCTTTAGATAGTATATCACTTGACGACTAATTGAAGGAGCTTGGCTGCAAAACCAATACCATTACTCCAAAGAAAACCCTTCAAGAAGGCAAGCTTTTTCGATGATGTGGAAAACAAAAAACCCTTCAAGAAGGCAAGCTTTTTCGATGATGTGGAAAACCTCTCCAACATAGGTGAAAAAGATCTAGATGATCCATGTAACATTTATAGATTGAAATCAAATTAGCTTGTAACTGTAATGTTTATGGACTTGCAAGGCAAAAACTTAAACAAAGTATTAGTAAATAGCGCAAAAGCAAACAAAGAAATTAAAGATCGAAACCTTCTTTTGGGTTCAAATGGCATATTAATTGATAATGAAGACTGAGAAAGGGAGCACCATCACCGGCAACCGACAACCGAAGCCAAAATGGACCCAAATTACCAACTTTGAATCAACATAAACCCTAACCAATAAAAAACTTCCAGTAAAAATTATTGTTGGTCCATTCAATATTATAATTATCAATTTTGGTCCCATTAAAAAAAAATTATCAATTTTGGTCCCACTCAAATGAAAATTTATCAATTTTAGTCCCAAATTGGTTGACTGGGACTGAACCTTGTTGGATGACTCGGAAGGTGACTGGGCGTCCCAGATAGCCAACACGGCCGTGTTGAGACCCTTGCACTTCTGAACACGGCCGTGTTCCTTCCCGTATTCTGAACACAACCATATTCCTGCCCATGTTCCCATATTCTCAACACAGCCATGTTCTAGGCCATGTTCCTACCATGTTCTCAACACAACTATGTTGTAGGCCATGTTCACGGCCATGTTTTCAATATAATCATATTGTATATTATATTTATTATTATTTTTACTTTTTGGTTAAAATTATTTGATATATATATATTTATAATTTAACAAAAATATTTTTTACAATTATTTTAATAATATAAAAAATAATCAAATTTTAATATTTTAAAAATATATAAAAATAATATTATATTAGTATATATTTTTAGTAATACTCCATATGTCCCACTTATCATGTCCACATTGCCATTTATGTCCGTGCCACATTCATGTCACTTTTCTTTTTTGGAAAATAATTACACACTATTTTTTAATTTAATTTTTTTAATTTTAATTAAACTAATGAATTTTCTTAATCTTAGTCTTAATTTATAATTATTTATATTATATGATAATTATTTTCACTAATACATTCTTAATTATCTTACTAGTTATACTTATCCTAAATTCTCATGTTTACAGTGATCCGGAGAGAGTATTATTTTAAAATATTATTTTGAATAATAAATTTAATTTATAATTTATAGAAATAATTAAAATAATATTTTAAAATTTTTACTATAAATTTTTAAAAATATATATAGCATGATTATTGAAAAAATATATATATATTAATATATTATTATTTTTATATATTTTTAAAATATTAAAAATTGATTATTTTTTATATTATGAAATAATTGTAAAAAATATTTTTGTTGAATTATAAATATATATCAAATAATTTTAACCAAAAAGTGAAAATAATAATATATATGACCTACAATATGATTATATTGAAAATATTGTCGTTAACATGGCCTAGAACATGACTGTGTTGAGAACATGGGCAGAAACATGGCCTAGAATACGGCTGTGTTGAGAACATGAGCAGGAACATGGGCAGAAACATGGCCTAGAATACGGCTGTGTTGAGAACATGAGCATGAACATGGGCAGAGATATGGCTGTGTTAGGAACACGGACAGGAATCGGCCGTGTTCAGAAGTGCAGGGGTTTCAACACGGCCGTGTTGGCTGCCTGGGACGCCCAATCACCTTCTGAGTCATCCAACACGGCCGTGTTCAAGCAAAACACGGCCGTGTTGAGTCTCAGTCAACTATTTTGGGACTAAACTTGATAAATTTTCATTTGAGTGAGACCAGAATTGATAATATTTTTTAAATGAGACCAAAATTGATAATTATAATATTGAACGAGACAAAAAATGATATTTCCTCAAAAACTTCAAACTTGCCAAAATTTCATTGTAGAACCTCACCAAACACTCAAAAGAAAACACACAAAAGGACCTAAATGCACAAACAATAGAGTTGAAACCACTAAAAAAGCCTCAATAAATTTATCGAAAATACAAGAGGGACAAAAGCCGGAGAAGAAAGGGATTTTGTGCCAATGAGATACAAAATGTCGGCAAAAGAGTTATTTAAATGCAAAATAAATGAACGATTCTCATCCTAAAAATAAGTAGGCTTTAATAGACCGGGCCAACTCTATTGGACTTCATTCTATCTATTGTCCTCCCAATAAATATAAAATTTTGGGTTAAAACCCAATAGTAGTATTACTTACATTCAACTAAGCCTGTTATTTATAATTTAGACAAAAATTATTGAAGTTTTGGATTAGTTTTTAAAGATTTAAAAATAGTAAACATATATATTTGATGTGATATTTTTTTTAAATTACTGATAAATAATGTCAAAGTAATAGCAACTTTTATAGGCATTAGGATTTGATCGATAAGATTATTCATGCCTATATTCACGTTCCTCAGGACACTAAAAAATTTATTATTATTATTATTGTTGTTGTTGTTGTTTTAAAATTTAAATAATTTTTTGCTATATTATTTAAACAAAAATAAATTTTTTTTGGCAACCTTTTATTAATTATTTACATATATATATATATACATACAAACAACTTACAAAATTATTTCAAACAAAAAATAAAGATAGAACGAACCAAATGGGTGTGTTTGGACAATTTTTTACTATTGACTCTCTATGCTTCTAAAAAGACTATACTATTTTTTTTCATAATATATAATATATAATCACCTTCGCCAGCAGGGACAGAACTACACTAGGGTTTGAGGGATCAATTGATCCCAAGTCAAATTTTTTTATAATTTTTTTAGTATTAAAAATATTAATTTTTATATGTTTATATACAATTTGTCCCCCCAAATTAGTATATAATTATGTCATTATTATTTATTTAAATTGCCCCCTCCCGGGAGAGGCTCTCCAAAAACTGTCATTAAGTTAATGAAATATAGAAAAAATTATAAAAAAAAATATCATTTAAATAAAAAATTAAATAAAGGCCTCATTTCAAATTAATTTCAATTTACAACCAAAATAAACAATCATTATACATGATAATATTACATTAAATAAGTAAATCACATATTAATATATATATATAACTACAGTAAATACATTTCAAATAATTTAAAATAATCAATTTAAAATTTTTGATTTACTAAATAATTTTTTTTTTATGTAATTATTAATTATTTTTTAATACTCTTTTAGTAATAGTGACATAATATTTTGCTAAATTTAAACTTTTAAAATTAAATTATTAAAATTTTATGTAACATCATATAAATAATATAATAAACATTTGATCTTATCATATATATATATATATATATAAAAGAGCTCAAAATGTGAATGATAGTTTTCTTAAATAGTGGGGATGATTTTCAATGTTGGTAGAGGAAAATTATTTTTTTATTTTTTTTATATTTTTCTTTATTTATAGAGAAGAAGAAGAAAAGACAAGTTGAAGAATTTTTTTTTTTTTAATTACGATTTTTTACATTTACAGGATCACTATCGTAAAAAATATATGGTGAAAAAAAACAAGATAGCAGATAAAAAGTTGGGATAGTTGAGATCTGAAGAGATGTCTTCTAAAAGTTGGGATAGTTGTTTTTCGAATGAGTCATTGTTATTTTTTTTTGTTGGAGTGATAAATTAGAATTTTTGTTTGTCTTTCTATTTCTTTTTCATCTTCTCTCTTTTCTAAAATTGCTTTGGTACTATTCTTTATTGATGATATATTTTTTTATACTTTTTAGATTTTTTTGTATTTTCTAAATTGTTTATTTTGTTGTATTTTTTCTGCGCAACCATAAAGTTGAGATTCGAAAATAAAGCTTTCTAAACATCGAAAGTTGTTTGTTGGAGGATTCTATCGCTCTTATTTCTATTGTTGACTTATTTATGTTGCCTAATATTTTCTTTTCACGATGTTATATTCATTGCAGTCGGAGAAGATTTCCGTCAATTTCAACGGAATTCGTTATTGTTGTTTTGCATTCTATTTTTCTAATAATTTTTTTTATTTGTTTGCTATATATATATATTTTTATTGATTCTATTTTCTTTTTGACATACCTTTTTTTATACTTTTTAGATTTTTCTTTGTTATTTTCTAATTTGTTTATTTTGTTGTGTTTTTTCTACACAGACAAGTTGAAATCCGAAAGGTTATCTTTTAAATATCGAAAGTTTTCGTCGCTCTTATTTTTATAATGTTTTCTTTTCAAAGATAAATGCAGGTAGTTTAGCTATAATAATATATTTTGAAATAACTAATAATTTTTTTTCGTTGGTGCCTTCCCGCTAGTTATTATAAAGTCTAAAATAAAGTAGTATTTCATATATTTTAATATAAAAAATATTTAGGGCGTGTTTGGCAATTAGCTGATAGCTGTTAGCTGATTCAATTAGCTAGTTTGACTAGCTGATTCGATTAGCTGTTTGTATTAAAATGTCTGGTAAAACAACTGTTTGATATTAGCTGTTTATACGTAAAATAACAATTGAGGACATTTCTATTTTATTTTTGTTTCTAATATATTCAATTATGTTCTTTTGAGTTTAGAATGTTTAAAATTTTTTGTTATTAGTTATTTAAAATTGTAAAAGTGTTATAAAAGTATTTATTTTTATTATAGTTAGATTTAAAAAATAATATATTTTTATTAAAATATATAAATAGTTTTTCCTATTGAAAATGATGTAAGATATAAAATAATAAACTTTACGTGTATATATTTATTATGTTAGTTATCGATTAGTTCATTATATTTATAATTTTCAATAAATTTAATTTATTTTTAGTATAAAAGCTATATAATGTAATTTTAATATAAAAATAAATTATTAATATTTATATTTTTTATTTTATGTTGATTTTAATAAATTTATATATTTTACAATTAAAATAATTTTTATATAAAAATTAATTATTTTAAACTTATAAAAGTAAAACTATAATGTAATAAAATATTCTAATATAATTAATAAATAATCAAAATATATTTATTTGTGTAAAATGCATAATAAATTTTTAAGGGCATATAAGGAATAAAATTTTTTTTACAGCTATTTCAAAACGCTGAATAAGTTAGCTTTTCAAAAATTAGTTTTTTTGGGTCAAAAAACTATTCCAAAAACTAATTTACCAAACACCTAAATTAACTTTTTGACTGATCAAATAGCTAGCTGTTTAATAAGTTAAAAGCTCTTCAAAAAATTATTTACCAAACACCTTCGCTTAAGTTGTTTTTACCCGGACTTAGTAAATGAGGAACGGCTGTGATTATTACATGAGTGGCCTAATATTCCGTAGACTTTAAACAATGGTGAATTCAACTATAATAATGAATTCTAAAATTATTTTGTCTTGTATATGACCACACAAAAAACTGTAAATTTTTTTTTTAAAAAAAAAAACATAAATTGAATCACAGGAAATTTGTATTACAAGAAAACATAAAATTGCATTTAAATCATCAATCCAAATTGATATGTTGTGAAGTCCAAATTCGAGCATAGGGCGTAAATTTTTTTGGTCAGTAGGTATAATTTTTGGGTTGCATACATTAGGATTTTGCCTTTACTTTTTATAATGAAAATATTATTACCCGTAGATCATTCTAATCGTACTGAGTTATCAAATTATGTCTTTTTGTGTTTTGTAACATAACAAAATCATACAAAATGCAACGTGTATGGACAAGGCCGAACCTTAACAAAATATCGCGGATGGATAATATCTCATGAACACAGAACGAGTGGTTTCAGATCGATGATTGTCTAAAGAATCGATCGAGCAATTCATTTGATCCTAAAAGTCATATATAATTCCACAAGCATCCATTTGTTTATTTATTCCACAGCAGGCATTAATGAATGCAGCCAAGATTTCAGACAGTGATTAATCAATATATGCCCCACCATTTTATCATCTTCTGAAAAAAATCTTTGGATCAAATTACATGAAATTCAGAGAGAGTTTCACAGCCATGGAATTTATAAACTTTCTGTATCTATCCATCTCTCACTCTACTCAACATTAGAGTCTTCATAGTTTCTTTAATTTGCTATATATTACAGCAACTTATTTCATTAAAAGATGGTTATTTTTTTTTTTTATGTAAGATTTTCGCGGCTATATTAAGGATTTGATTGCACGTTGCCGTAGCTTTTGGCCAGTTATTCGTCTAGGCTGTCCGTGGCAAAGCTACGATTTGGGTGGATCGATTACAGGTTATTTTTTCATAGTTTCTACAACAAATTTCGCTATAGATTCTTGAAAATTCATTATTACATTGGCTACATATATGCTTTTGTTTCGCAATGATACGGTGAAAGAATTTAAGATAAAATTATTAGTAGTAGATGAAGATGAAGGTCGAGGGTGTATTTACTTTGTGATTTTTTATTTTTTGGTTATTTATTTAATTAAATAATTGGTTGGATACGATGTTTAGTAAAAAAATATATTTTTATAAAAAATCGTGAAAAATCAAAGGAAATAAAAATCATATTACATTAGAGATTAGCTTTATGAATCCATCTTTTTGTTACCGAGACGGCCACACATTCAAAATATTTTAGCTGCAATGAGTATATATTCGAAAAATATATGTATTTTGTTATTGAAAGTTTTCCTTTAGATATAATTTTTGTAAGTTTTTAAATTCTAAAATTTTTGAAAATAATAAAAAATCAAGTATTTGATAGTAATATTTTAAAATAATTATTTTTTTTAAAAAAATCTAAATTTGTGGTAAAAGCCGCAACTATTTGGTCATTGTAGTAATATGCTTTTGTAGTAGGGTGCAATTAGGTTTAGTACTATCTGATTTGATCAAATAAACATATCTAATATAGTGTTATTTAGAAGTATCAATTATGTGATGTAAAATTTATATATTATGGCGTACTATATATACATTTATTATGCTGAAAATAATACTTCTTTCGTCCCATAACAAAGTATTCATTTTTTCATTTTATTCCATCCTATAGCAAAATATCTATTTCATTTTTCAGTAACTGTACTATCTACCTAACATTACAAATACCCTTACAACTTCCAATATATTACACAAATGCCATTAACTTTATATCACACGTACTAACAAGGTTATTTTAGTCATTTTTACTTTATTCCTATTATATCCTAATATAATACTAATATTTCTAAAAATACTTGCAAAAAGCGAATGAATACTTCTTTTTGGAACGAAAGGAGTATTTTGTGGTATATGTTGCATTATTATATATTGTATTATCACGTGCTGCTGTTGTCTGTATGTGCTAACTGATCAACTCAGTATGGTTTCGACTTTTTGTAATATATTTGTTGATTCTAATAGGCAAAAATATGGAGATAGGCGAAGTTATAAAGCCCCTTTTGGACAAACTCTTCGAGTTGATCAAAGAGCAAACGAAATATGCTACGAACTATGAAAGCTACATCGATGTCCTAAACAGTGAAGTCGAAGCTTTAACAACTGCGAAAGTCGAGTTAAAGGAGAAAGTTCGAGCAGTCAAGATCGGAACTACGAACGACATTCTTCCGACAGTCGACCACTGGTTTGGAAAAGCCGAGGAGCACCTAAAAAATGCCAAAGAAATTCAGGACAAGGTTTCGGAAGTAGGAAATGGCTGCTTCTCTATGCGATCGCGCTGTTCATTAAGTCGAAAAGCCGAAAAATCAAGTGAACAAATAAGAATTTTTCTCGAAAAGGAGAAGTTGCGCGATATATCTACACCTGCGCCGCCAATATCGAAGACTCTTAATCCTCCGAAACCGATACCTATGTTCAAATCTCGGAAAGTCGTCGAAGATGGCGTTGTTAGAGCTCTAGAGAGTGGGAGTGTTCATTTGATCGGGATATGCGGCATGAGCGGTGTCGGGAAGACTACTTTGGTCGCAAAAGTTCGATACGAGAAGCGCGCATTGTTCGATGATAATGTGATGGTCGTTGTCGGCGATAAGAAAGTCGAGACGGTCCAGCTCGAGCTCAGTCAGTACTTAGGATTGAGTATAAATGAAAATAAGTCGTCGCAAGCTATGGCGATTGATCTGCGCCGGAGAATAGGCGAAAACCGGAGCCTAATAATTCTCGACGATGTTCAGAGAGTGATCGATTTCGAGGCGCTGATCGGATTAGGAACGAGCGATTTAAAAAACTGCAAGATTTTGGTAACTTCTGAAAACAAGGAAGTTTTGAGTCGAATGGAAGCGAATATCTTCGCGGTGGATCCGTTATCGGAAGATGAGGCGTGGTCTCTGTTTCGCGACACGGCTGGAAGTTGTGTCGATAAGTCGAATTTGAAGTCTATAGCGAAGGAAATAGCGAAGGAATGCGAGGGATTGCCGCTAGGCATTGTAAGCCTCGGGGAAGCTTTGAAAGATAAAGAAAAACATCATTGGAAGAACGCGTTGAAAGGACTAATAAGTTCGGATCCGAAGTTCAGCGACTCGGAGCATCTGCAAGAAGTTTACGGCCCGTTGAAACTATGTTTCGAGCTGTTGCACGATGAAGATGCCGAGTCTCTGTTGCTGCTTTGCAGCCAGTTTCCGAAAGATTTCAACATTAGCGTCGACGAGCTAACCTTATACGCCACAGGGTTGCGCTTGTGGCCGGAGGGAGTTTCCAATTTAAGCGAGGCAAGAGATGAAGTTGCTGTAAAAATTGATAAGCTTAAGAGTAGATGCTTGCTGTGTGATGGAGATCACGGCGATTCAGTGAAAATTCACGATCTTGTTCGCAGCGTCGTTAGATCTATTGCGCGCGAGAAGAAGTTGGTAGGTGATGCTCGAAGAAGCGAATGGATATTGGAGTTTACGGATACGAAGATAGAGTTTCTTGACGAACGAAGAGGATGCAATTTCCCGAACCTTAACATCTTGATCGTACAAAAACATTCGGAAATGCTCGATTTCTTGATGGAGCATCGAGGCGTGAAGTTTTTGATCCCATTGGACGAACGTATGGCAATGAGACGAGCGAAGAGTTTGGAGATAAGCGATCTATCGTTTTTGGAGAGGAGCGAAGAGCTGCGCGTATTGTCTTTGAAAGAAGTTTCATTCGATTCGCTGCCGCGAGGAATGGCGCTGCTGAAAAAGCTTCGAACGTTGCGACTATACAATTGCGCGCTGAAAGACATATCGATCATAGGTAAGTTACCGAGTCTTGAAATTCTGAGCTGCATTTGGTGTGTAAATATCAGCGAGATACCTCTCGACATTCGAAAATTAGAGCACCTCAAGCTGTTAGATTTTTCGAACTGCAAAGGCTTGAAAACCGTGGCGCCGGGAGTTTTATCGAACTTGGTTGCATTGGAGGAGTTGAGGATGCTACAAAGCTTCGACGGATGGGAATCATCGAAGAGAAATGAAACCGAAAGAAAAAATGCGACCCTCATGGAGCTTCAGTCATTACACAACTTAGCGCGATTGGAGATTCGAGTGAAGGATCTTCGCCTGCTCGAGGAAGAGATCGAGCTTCCAAGAAGTGTCGAAAACTACAAAATAATCTGTGGGAACGTCGATGCTCCAAATTGGTTTGACACTCTAACAAAAGGCTTGGCCTTGTCTCGATTACCCGAAGATATTCGAATCTCCAGTTGGATCGAAAGGCTTGCGACAAGCGCCGAGGGGCTGTACATAGACGGCGAAGGATCGAAAAACTTCGATCTCTCACAAGTTCAAGGGACAATCAAGAGTTTGGAAGTTAGGAACTGCAGAGGAATTGAGGCATTGGTGAACACAGAACAGAGTCGCGTTTTCGGCGAATTGGAATTCTTGCTGCTCGGCAATCTTCCGAACATTAAAGAGCTCTGCGCCAGCCGGATATCTGATGAAGCGCTTTCTTTCGACAACCTTAAAATGATATTTCTCGAGAATTTGCCATCATTATCGCGTTTGACTCCAAATCAGAAGGTTGTTTTCCCTCGCCTTTCTGAGGTCGCTATTTGGGAATGTAACGAGCTACGGAATCCCCTCTCGATGGAAATCGGGATGGATGCTGTCCTAGAGCTCGAACATCTTGATATTAGACGGTGCGGAAATATGAAAGAGTTGTTTTTTCATGAAGGAAGAAGTAACCTTAAATTCGAGAAATTGAAGAAGCTGACTATAGAATCTATGCCGAGTTTGAGGAGTTTCGGCCAAGGACTTGAAAGCCTTGACTTTCCAGTGTTGGAGGACTTGACAATCGACTTCTTGGATACGTCGCCGCCTATTATCCCTGTTTTGAAGTTAGATGACTTCTATCGTCTCGAAGCAAATACGGAGAATAGGGAGGTGGAGCGCGCGCGTGATTATCGATCTCTAAATCACTTTTTCGACGTAAAGGTATGCATTGATGCCTTTGTTCTTTACATCTATAAGCTAATGTGTTCATAAGTGCATTACAATTCTATTTATATGAGCATTTTTTGAAATTTTGACACTATTTATCAAAAAATAACTTTATTTTATGTTTCACGTCAAATACTTATTTCATTCAAAATATCACATCAAATGTCCAATTTTTTATTATTCAATTTTCTTTTTAAACTCCGGAACTTCCAAAACTCTTATGGTTCTATATATGTCTATGTTTTGAAAGGTTGAATTTGGAAGGTTGGAAAGGTTAGAACTAAGATGTTGGGACAACATTCGAAGTTTATTTTCATCTTCAATAAGCAAAAGTGTCGCGGAACTTGAAACTATATCCGTAAGTTTCTGCTCGGGCATGGAACAATTGATTGAAGTGGAGAAAAAAACAGATGAAATCGATAAGTGTGAGGCTATAGAAGAAGATGATGAAGAGATTGCAAGAAAAAGTATTGTTACATTCCCAAAACTGCAGGTAATCCGTTTAGATGTGTCGAATCTTACAAGTCTCGGAAAAGGAATCCAAAGGATCGAGTTCCCCGTCCTACATACATTGGATATTCGCCTGGAATTCTCTCATAAAAGAAAACAAAAATCTCCCGACAACGATGACGATGTACTTGGCAACAATGAGGTATGTAACACTATTTCAATTCAAATTATTTTTTTCAAAATTGCCTATAACTCTCATAGAAACTAACGTAAATTTATCTTCACTTTAAAAATTGCATTACGCCCCTTGTACTTTTCATTAAACCCCTTTTTACCTTTTTTCTGTGTGATGAGAAAATAATTTCTTATCTATATTTTTTTTGCATAACAGGGTTTAATGCGTACATCTTTTTAAAGTATAAGGAGACGCTATACAATTTTTAAAGTATAGAGAGTATTTATGCTGAATTTTGAAACTATAAGAGAGTTATGGACAAATTTACAAATTTTTATAGTATTTTGAAACTTCAAATCCAAACCCAAACCATAAAGGAATACATCAATATTTACTACCAAATTGTTCGTGTTTTTAGGTAATATTTGGGAGATTGAAAACCTTAGAGATTGATGGTCATGACAAGCTCATCCAAAAATGGTGTAAACAAATTCAACCATGTTTCTTTACAACATTGGAGGAATTACAGATAGTTGGTTGCCACAATATTACAAGTTTATTTCCATCATCAATGGTAGAGAATCTTAAAAACCTCACAACACTAACCATTATAAGTTGCAACAAAATGGAACAAGTTGTTCAAGAAGACCAGGGCGAAACTTCGAAACTATTCCCAAGTTTGAAAGTGTTAGCTCTTTTGTCTCTTCCCTCATTGGAAATATTTTGCCAATGGAGATGTGCTCTTTTCTTCCCATTGTTGGAGAGCATAACCATTGACAAGTGCCCGAGGATGGAGACTTTGGCACGAGGATCTCTAAGGACACCGATGTTGGCTACACTTACAGTGGACGACACACGTTTTCTCCGAAATGAATTGAGTGGAATCGATGATTTGAATAACTTCCTACGCCAACACATTGTGTCGACAAAGCAAAAGGTGTGCCTCGATAACCATCAACATTCTTACCTATTTCTTGCAAGACAACACTGTCAAAGACTTCTTTGATATGCATTTTTTTGGTTATTACAATCGTTGTCGTGTCCATGGTTCGCCGGATCGGCCGATTCGGGTCCGACTCGGCCGATCCGGAACCGGAACGGGCAGGACCGTTCCGGTACGAAAAAAAAATCCGATTTTCTTCCAAATCTTCATGAAATCACTCAATTTTTTTTATTTTGGAGATGTTTTTGTCAATCATTCTCCTTCCGTTACTTCAATTTAATACGTAGAAATTGTGAAGTACTTCAATTTCATATTTGGAATTTGAAACTTGGAAAGGAGAAGATGTGAGTTTAGGGATAAATTTAGGGAAGATATTGTTCGGTAAGATGAAGAAGTAGTGGAAGGTGCGGCTGCGTTGTGAATAAAGAAGGTTGCTGAAGAAGAAGAGGATTGGAGAGGAAGATCGAGCAGTGTTGTCGGTTGGGGAAGAGGATAGTGTAGGTTGGGAAGAAGAACGAGTAGCGAATAATTAATTGAAAATATTTTGGAAAATAACCTAAATAATTATTTAAGTCCATTTAACTTAATTTTTGTAAATATAAGTATAAAATTAATTTGTTTACTTTGGATCGGAATTAGTATTAGATTATTTTAATTATTTTGTTTATTTAATTTTTAAATTTAATTGTTTTGATTTGTCTTTAATTTTTACTTAATTTATCCAAATTGATTTTCATTAAAATTGATATTTTAGAATAACTTATAACTAATTGTAAAATTATTTTTTAGATCAAATTATATATATAATTTTAAAATTAATTATATTTATGTTTTAATATATTTAATTGTGTATATTATCATTTTTTAAAATAAAAAATTTTATATAAAAATAATGTTGACCGATATTTGAACGATACACCGCGCCGATATGCCGCGACGTATCTGGAACGATGAAAGCCGATCCGCGACAACGATCCACGACGGCGAACCATGGTCGTGTCCCATTGTGAAATTACTTATCCACATTAATCCCGCTCCTTCTTCTTTTTTTCAGGCATCAACTTCATTGGCTACGACATAACCTGGAGCGAAAGCTGGAAAATATGTCAAGTGTAATATTTTTAAGTACATACAAACAAATGTTTATTTATATTCTCAAAGCATATTTTGTTTGCTCCTCTCAAACCTTGTAAAACTCAGTGAGAAATCCATGGCTATCTAAAATTTGTAGATTAAGGTCTGGCTCTTTTCGAGATTTTTCTTATGTTCATAATATTTTTCTTAACCTTTGATAGTGTTGATAGTAAACTAAATAAACCTTAGCTCTTGATCGATGGGGTTTGAATCAGTGATTTCAAAGTCACCAATTATCTTATACCAACTCGAATACTCCTTATGATATACATTATATTTTCTGAACTTTTCACGGTGTTGATGGTAAATTAAATAAGATAGAGGGAGAAGAGTCAAAAACAAAAAATGCTTTGAGAATATACTAAAACATTTGTTCTTCCGTTCCGACAAAGCTTATTTTGTTTGCAGAATCCGCGATGAAGCAAGTCAGTTCCTTCCTCTTCACCCAAATCTGAACAGATTCTGTAATTAAAGATCAAAAAAATCTAACCTTAAATCAACAATAGCTACCAAAAGTTGAAAAAATCCAAAATGCAACGACCCGATGCTGCAGATTCCTTCCCTTTGTGATAACTTTTGTCACCCTGCCTCTAATCTCTTGTTTGTTCTGTGCAATTCTGATGAGTTGTTTTTTTAGGGGCTTCAGCCATGTTTTTGTCCAACCAGTCCTGTGTTTTTTTGAATCTTTGGAGAGATTCTAACAGTGAATCAGAAAATTTAATGTTTCCTATTGGTTGGGGTTTAAATTAATTCATTGTTGGTTTTTAAGGTTAGTTTTGGTGTTTAATGGTGCCGAGAGTATAGGGATGTCAAATGGGTCGGGTTAACCTCGGATCCACCCCGGACTCAGTCTTACTGGGATGAGTTTGGGTCTAAAAAATTTGGTTCGGGGCAGGTTATGAATTTTGAGTTTTAGATCCGGTCGTGTTCAGTGCGGGTTATAAGTTTTACTAAGAACTCGTCCCTCTTTGGACCCGGACATGAACCCGGATATTTTAATAATTATTATAATTTATTTATATTTTTATATAATATAAATTATGTTATTTATTTAAAAAATTTAAACATAAAATAGAATTTTAATTTTAAATCAAATTTGTCTTCGCATTTGTTTCTTCTATCATTCTTATTATAATCGGGACTATTGCTGACCACCATCACTGTCGACTATTGTCAATATTTTATTATTCTAATTTTTAGAACTATAATTTTTTGGTACTTTGATGCGTACTTTTTTTAGTATTAAATTATTTAAAAAATATATATTTTATTCTTTTTTTTTTTTTAAAAAAAACGTGTATGTCGGGTTGGCTCTGAACCCGGAGGGTTCGAGGCGGAACGAGTTTTCGGTCCGAGTTGAAGCAGGGCGGGGCGGGTCTTGGGTCATAATATTTTCTAGCGGGGCGGGTCTCGAGGCCTGCAAAACCCATCCCGAACCCGCTCCGCTGACATCCCTACGAGAGTATGAGCGCAACAGGAAGGCTTTCGAAGTATTTTTCTTACAAGTTCAAAAACATTATAATTACAAATTGATACGATTCCAATACACGTTGAATATTACACAATATAACCTCTAAAGGGGGCATACAATATACTTGAATTGTCAAGATTCTTTTCATCAATTTTGGAGAGGCTTTCCACATCATCGAAAAAAGGCTCCGAAGTCTGCCCTAACTGGGCATTGGTGAGGGATTATTATTGGGTATTGGTTATGTAAATAGTTGTCAAATATGCTGTTTAAGATTTCTAGTTACTTTGTTACTTTATTGGGATATGAAGCCTGATTATATTCTAAAATCTAAGGATATAATTTAAATATGATTTATAAATTATATTCTAGATATTAGAAATATGATTTGGATATTATTGGCATAAGCTTAGCCTATAAATATCCATGTTTTCTCACTTTAACATGTGCCTGTAAACTTTATAGTAAAATTCCTGGCTTGGCAGCGCCTCTAGACGTAGATCATTGTTATCGAACTGGGTTATCAAATTCTTATGTTATTGTGTCCTTGTTTGTCTTTTCTTAATTTCATGAAATTTTTGTAACAAGTGGTATCAGAGCCTGGTTCATTGGTAAGGTGGATTGAGAGACATTGGATATTGATTGTGGCTGTGGAAATCCTTTGTGACCTATGGAGGTGCCTTGTGTCGAAAGTCTCCTGGCGGTGTTGGGTCGGTCCCGACAGTTTTTGTAGGTCAGGCAGCGTGTACCTTTTGTGATAGGCGGTGCAAGGTAGACAGAGAAGGATAAGGGTTTCGGCAAACGCAACGAAGGCGATATCCGATGTGCTCCCATATTAAGTGAACTTTAGGTTTGTTCAAGATGGATGAAGTTGAGTAAAAGAAGATTGACAGGAAGACGATGAGTGTGGTTCGATTAACCCTTTGGGAGAATGTCTCGACTGAATTTAGATCTGAAGCAAAGGAAATGGTGAAGATCAAGAGTGGTCAAAGTTGAAGCCGGAGAACAAGGACAAGGAAGATGCAAGTCAGGTGGTATGTTAGAACTGCAAATGACACTTGAAACGATAGTGTAGGGTGCCGGAGAAGGATTAGGCTTCAGCAAACGCAGCGGAAGAGATATCCAATGCGTTGATTCTGAGTGTCAGCAGTCCAATTGAGTCATAGATTTTGGTCTCAAGAGCGTCATTCCACTTATACAGTGATTCGGGAATCATGGAATCCTATACCACAGGTAATTTTGATGTTGTTTATCTTGCAGATGTGATGAAACACTAAAAATTGTAGGTAAAGGGATGGTTCGAATCGAAACACCGAATGGTGGGGAGTGGAGACTGAATGACGTGAGACATGTCCCGGGTCTAAAAGAGAATCTAATTTCCGTGAGACAATTGGGTGAGGTAGGTTACTCGAAAGTGGAAGGGCGCCAGAGAAGGATCAGGGTTCGACAAACGCAGCGGATGAGATATCCAATGCGCTGATTCTGAGCGTCAGCAGTCCAATAGAGTCATGGATTTTGGTCTCAGCAGCGTCATTCCACTCATGCAGTGATTCGGGAATCATGAAATCCTAATACCGCAGGTAATTTTGGTATTGTTTATCTTGCAGATGATGAGACACTAAAAATTGTAGGTAAAGGGATGGTTTGAATTGAATCACCGAATGATGGGGAGTGGAGACTGAATGACGTGAGACATGTCACAGGTCTAAAAAGGAATCTGATTTCTGTGGGACAATTGGATGAGGTAGGTTACTCGATAGTTTTTGAAACTAAGTCGTGGAAGGTAACTCAAGGATCCATTGTGGTGGCCTAAGGGAGAAGAGATGGAACTCTCTACATGACGAAAACCATGCAAGACGGAATCAGTTCTGTGGCCATAAATAATGACACAAATTTATGGCATTCTCGTCTCAGACATATGAGCGAGAAAAGGATAAGGGAGCTTGTTTCAAATGGAAGATTTAAAAAATGAAAGATCAAGAGAAGATTGAACTAAGTTAATCTTGCTCTTGGCTTTTTGCTCATGATTTGCATTTGTGCTGAGCGCACACGTACTATCAATCCCAATGGCATTGGTATGAAGGATAACAATTGAAGTCAAAGAATTTCATATAAAAATCAAGAAAAGATTGAACGCTTTCATATGTTCCTCTTGGGTTGTTGTCCATTATTTTCATTCGTGCACACATACTATCAAGCCCAATAACGTTGGTCGGAATGATAACAATTGATGTAGAAATTTTTTAAAAATAAGAAATCAAGCAGAGATTGAGCATGTTTAATCTTCCTCTTGGAATGTTAATCATGATTTAGATGCCGAACGCACATCAACTATAAGCCAAATAACATTGGACAACAATTGATGTTAAAATATTTCAAATAAAAAATCAAGAAGAGATTGTGCATTGATCTTCCTCTTGGATTGTTTCTTATGATTCGCATTAGTGCACAAATACTATCAAGCACAATAGCATTGAATAACAATTGATGTAAAAAAATCCCAATAAAAAATCAAGAAGATATTGATAATCTTCCTCTCAAGAAGTTGTCCATGATTTGCATTTGTGTCGAGCGCACACATACTATCAAGCTCAATAGCATTGTGTAACAATTAATGTGAAAAAACTTTCAAATAAAAAATCAAGAAGATGTTGAGCACAGTTAATCTTTCTCTTGGGTTGTTGCCCATTATTTGAATTTGTGCCGACAACACACATATTATCAAGCCCAATAGTGTTAAAGTACAGATGATATAAAAAATTTTCAAACAAAAAATTAAAAACATATTGAACACAGTTAATCTTCCTCTTTCGGTTTTGTCCATGATTCATTTGTGCGAGCGCACATATACTATCAAGCCCATTAGGGTTGGTCCGAAAAATGTCCTAGCCCATTACAACCCATTTAACTCTCATAACTAGGGTTTCAATTGTTATCCTTCTCTTTTGTCAACTTTTGGATCTCATTCTCGCCGTTTTTCTCTCTACCTCTTGTTCCTCTTGGTGCTTTTTGCGATTAAGGTGAGGATTTTTTTGGCTTCAACCATGTCTATTGTTTGAAGAGTCCTTTTGTGTGTTCCTTTAATTATATTTTGTGAAGTTTTGTGGGTGTGATTTAGGCTAGCTTTGTTTGGTATTGGTCTTGGTTTGAGCTGATTTCATAGCCGATTTGTTGGATCCATTTGTGTGTCTATTGGTGGCGTAGCCGGCGCTCCCCTTTCTCGGTCTTGACGACCGGCCTGAGATCAAAAGAAAGGCTTCGATCTTTAATTTTCATGGCTATTTTGGTATTCTTCACTAATTTTCCATCTCTTGTGTTTGTTTTACTGATTCGAAAGCAGCATAGTTGCATATTGATCCAATTTCAGTCCATAAATACGAAATCCTACGATATATAACTGCCAAATCCTCCGATCCCTAAACAACAATACCTGGATTTTCAGATCCTTTTCACCTACCTTCGAGAGGATTTCACCATCATGGATAAAACCTCCCAAAATCTGCACGGCAACAACCAAAGCAACCAGCTGAAAGATTCGGGAGTCACTGGCAGGTATCATTACAAACTTTTTCTAATTTTATGACTTTGTAATTGCTATAGAATTTCAATCTCATGTATTTATTGGCAATAGCTATTAGCCGACTCGATTAACCCGTGTGACTAAATAAATATATCATCCGATTATATGTAAAATAACAAATAAGGAAGCGTTGTTCACTTAACCTATTTTTGGGTGACAATATTCTCTATAACTATTATAAAAATACAATATATACATTTTAACACAAAATATATATATATTTACACTTTATTCACCTATAAAGTAAATAGCTCAATAAAAAATATATTATATATACATGCTTTATTCAACTATAAAAGTCAATGTTTTAGCACAAAATACTCTCCCTTCCACTCCAAAGTCTTTTAAAATTTTATAATATAATAAAAATAATAATATTTTATTAATTAGTTAAAATATGTAAAAACATTTGAACTTTTTTTTTGACTTTATGTATATATTTATAATTTTATTATTTTTACTAAAATAAAAAATAAATATTTTATTAAATTAGACGGATAAAAATGATAAAAAAATATAGAAATAATATTATATTATTAGTTATTGAAAATTATAGAAATTTTATTAAAATAGTTGATTATTTTTAAATATTTTATGGAAAAAATAACGTATTTTTATATATTTATTTATTGTTACTTTTTATAACGTTTGAATTCAAAACCACTACCCTTCAAATGCATTATAGTAAAATAGCTTGTACCTGCAAACTAGATGTGTTTTTATTGAAATCTATTAACATTGTTTTTTTTTTTTTTATTATTAATAATAGTATAAATGTAAAAAATAAGTAATTATATATATTTTTTATTAGATTCATTTTTAATTAATTAATATTTTTATTGAATTATATTCATTTTTATTTAAAAACCTTATGTGATAAAAAAAATATATAAATTTATAATATTAATATAATAATTTACATATAATAATTTCAATTATTCTAATTTGTAAAAATAAATTTATAAGTTAAAAGAAGAAAATATATAATGTAAAAAACATACAATATGTGTGAAAAACTAATAAAATTTTTTCAAGATAAATAAAAATAAGAAAATTTAAAATAAAAAGCTAGAAAATATAATATTTCATTTAAAAAACTATTGTTATTATTTTTTTACCCAATAAGCTATTATAAAGCTCTAGAAACAACCGTGCGCCAAACACACGATTAATATTTTTCAGTTTCCATGATTCTTTCTGCATTTGTGCCAATATTGTCCCTCGGATCCTTGTCACAAAAATAAACTCTATTCTTCTATTCCCTAGCACATACACACGATATGTTTGGGGATAGGAGATATGAAATATTGGGGGATAGGGGATATGAAATGTTAATTGGACAAAGGATTCAGTGTGCAATATTGTACAGAAGATGTGAAGATTAATTAATGAGTACTGGAGCCATTTCACTGACATGTTCCTGTTATGAATGTAATTTAGGGAGAGGATGAATGTAATTCCAGAGATTGATGCACCCGGGGAACGGGTCATCTACGACGTGAATAATCCTCGGTGGCTTTCATCACTGCTGCTTGGGAGGTCGAGTTCCGACGTTCCGAGCACGGATGTAAGGGAGGCAATGGCGCCTGGCCGTGTTGTGTTGGGGGATGCATATTACGACAGCCAACCCACAAGAGGACCAGGAGGAAATGACAGTGGTGGTGGAGATGGGGATAGGGATTTCTCGATGTTGTCGGGCATAGCAGCCCCGCCGGCGATCCAACAGTCCGTGGGGCGGACTGCGAGAACAGCATCTGAGTCGGATTTGGATAGTGGAGAGTCGCTGCAGCCGAGACCCTTCAAGTGCGCTCGTAGAGAGACTAATATAATTCCTGCGATTGATGCAACAGAGGGACAAGTCATCTACGACGTGGATAATCCCCGGTGGCTTTCATCGCTGTTTCTTGGGAGGTCGTGTTCTGACGTTCCGAGCATGGAGACAACCGCTAATGGCCGCGCTGTGTTGGGGGATGCATATTACGACAGCAATCCAATAGGAACAGGAGGAAATGATAGTGGTGGTGGGGATGGGGATAGGAAATCTTCATCATCGTCTGGGATAGAAGCGGCGGCGGTGATGCAACAGTCGAAGGGGCAGACGGCGAGAATGGCATCCGCATCAGATTTGGATGCGGATGCGGATAGTCGAGAGTCGCTGCAGCTAGCCAAGGAGGATGAGGAGTCTGTGAACTGAGCTGAACTGAAAAGCTGAGCTGATATGCGGTAGAAGGTGATGAAAATTAAACTTGTTCAAAAAAATTTCAAACAAAGCGCAGTATTTTTTATCAAGCATTTACTGGTTTTTAAGTGACGGTTTATTTACTGAAGTTATTGTTAGAACAAACCCTTTGATATATAACTGCGTTTGCATTTACTTCTTGTTGTTTGCTGTCTCTAGAATTTTACTTGTATCTATATATATTTGCGTAGTTTTATAAGACCATTTCCAACCCACTGCATAAATGTAGTGAGTTGGCTAAAAACGGAGGGGTTGGGGCTCCAACCCAACCCCATTTCCTCCCAATTTATGGGAATAGCTACATTGTTACTTAAAAAATGGCATTGTAGTTCAACTTCATTTTTTAAGTAGAGTATTTTGTATATTTTTGGAATATTTTGTTTTTTTAGTGATAATGTAAAAACAAATTAAAGTTAGGATGTAATTTCTAAATATGAAAGGTTATATAAAATAATGTGGTTGGAATAAAATTACTGTAGACCAACTGCATTTTTATTATAGCTGCGCAAAAAATAAAGTAATGGGTTGGGGATGGCCTAATAGATATAACATAAGTACTCCCTCCGTCCCAAACACCCTGCAACATTTTCTTTTTGCTATGTCCCAAACACCCTGCAATATTTCCAAAATAGGAAATAATTAATTATACTTGATCTCTACCCTATACTTTATCTCCTAACATCATCCAAATAAAAAAATAAAATATATATTTCTCTCTCCATCACATCACCTAATTTTTAAATTATTCTACTTAATACTACCCACCTAAAAACCCGTGCCAAAAGCAAATGTTGCACCTTATTTGGAACGGAGGGAGTAATATTTTTTTTCTTCAAATATATAGTGCACACACAACACTAACCAAGCAATTCATACCGTATTTGCTAAGTTATTTGATTATCCTGCTTCTGTAATATCGAACAAGTGGTATCAGAGCTTAACGGTGAGAAACAACCCAGAGACGGATATGGCGTCCAACAGTTCCCTTCCCGTGCCCAAATTGATGAAAGATAATTACATAATGTAGAGTATACAAATAGAGGCGTTGTTGGGATCTCTTGATGTATGGGATTTGGTTGAATTTGTGTATGGAGAAGCGGAAGATGGAGAAATTAACGTGGAGAGACAGAAGGAGTTGAAGAAAAGGGAGAAGAAGGCTTTGTTCACAATCTATCAAGGTGTTGATGAAGCAAATTTCGAGTTGATATCCACTGCCCAGACATCGAATGAGGCATGGGATAGATTAAAGAAAGCTTATAAAAGAATTGATAAAGTAAAGAAGATTCGACTGCAGTCCTTAACGGCTCAGTTTGAGGCATTGAATCATGGTGAGACGTAAAGTATTGCGAATTACTTCTCTCGTGTTATAACTATTGCACATCAGATCCGAGGAAATGGAGAGGAACTAGAATATGACAAAATTAATCAAAAAATATTGAGGTCACTACATCCGAGGTATGATTTCGTCAAGAGTCCAAAAATGTGGAGGAGATGACGGTTGATGAGTTGCTAGGTTCGCTCCAAACCTATGAGCACATGGTTTTGAGAAGAGGAGGTGATAGTTCTTTGGAACAAGCTCTCCAAACAAGTCTCACATTCAAGAAAATTGATCGTGAGAGTATTTCTTATTTGTGAGTTTGGTGCATTCGAATTTGGTGATGCTTTGCGTGGCATGCAATGGACATGATATTTGTGAGAATGTTTAGGTGCTTGTCCGATTTTTTAGCAAACCTATAGTTCTTGTCTTAATGTGCATTTAGCGCTATTAGTGTAAACAATTGAGGGTGAGAGTATTTCTTATTTGTGAGTTTGGTGTATTCGAATTTGGTGACATTGCAAGAAAAAATCATTTTTATAACAAAATTTTTTTGTCTCTAAATCTACTTTTTTCGTTACTAATGATATTAGAGACGGAATTAGGAATGGAATTACGTTAGCTACGTGAACTTTAGGGACGGAATTCTGTTACAAATATATTAATTTTTTTTGTAGTGTGATGCTTGCATGGCATGCGATGGACATGATATTTGTGAGAATGTTTAGGTGCTTGTCCGGTTTTTTAGCAAACCTATAGTTCTTGTCTTAATGTGCATTTAGCGCTATTAGCTATTAGCGTAAACAATTGAGGGTGAAAGTATTTCTTATTTGTGAGTTTGGTGTATTCGAATTTGGTGATGCTTTGCATGGCATGCGATGGACATGATATTTGTGAGAATGTTTAGGTGCTTGTCTGGTTTTTTAGCAAACCTATAGTTCTTGTCTTAATGTGCAGTTAGGGCCATTAGCATAAACAATTGAAGATGAAAGTATTTCTTATTTGTGACTTTGGTGTATTCGAATTTGGTGATGTTTTGCTTGGCAAGCGATGAACATGATATTTGTGAGAATGTGTATGTACTCGAATTGTATTGCTCGGTAGTATGCTTGAGGACAAGTACCGTTTAGATATTAGAATTTGGTAGACGCACTTTAGTAAGATTTATTTGTATATATTTTTTAAATTTTAATATTTATCTTATAATCTATTTAAAGTCTTTTTTTTTATTTTTTTTTTTGTGTGTGTGTAAAGCACATAATCATTAAAAACAGAGAACATTGAGAAACTGTGAACAATACTCTCCTTACCCGATCGCAACTGTGAACAATACTCTCCTTACCCGATCGCGCAAAAATTCCTGCACAAAAATTAAAGAAATTTGTTATGAAAGGAAATAATTTGATAAATTATATACTCACTCCGTCCGGTTATAAATGACTCATTTATCTTTTGCATCATTATATTTAATATTAAAAATTTACTTATATTTATATAATTTTTTTGTTTCCCTTAATTTTGATTACGTTTTCATATAATAATTAATATTCAAAATCAACGGATAAAAAAACAAATGAGACCTTAGAGTTGGAGGGAGGTAGTATAATTTATCAGCATGTGCGGTGATGCCTACAAAATTACTTCAACTAATTATATTAATTAATAGAGTAAATTAAAATATTAGATTCATAAGCATTCAACACACACGAATTCAGCATGTGATCTGTCACCATAATTTATTTGTGATTTGAAAAATCTATATCATATTCCATCATGATTTATAAATTGTACGAGTCTTTTTCATGTTTTAGAAAATAGTTTATAGATTTTCCTAAAATAATTACATGATAGTCTTCTGTACTTTTTAAAATATTAAAAAAAAATCCCTTGAAAAGAAATTTTGTGCAATATTTTTAAGAATATAAGAAAATCTAATTCAACTTTTAAATTATGTGGAAAATATTGTAGACTTTTCAAACTAGTGGTGCTTATAGGTAATTTTTCTAAATAATTATGGTAATAAATTGTTATGGAAAAATCTTTTAGAAGTGGATAAAGCATAAAAAATTATTTCTGAGATATTAAAAAAAGTGGGAGACAGGCCTTCTATTTTTTTATTATTATTATTTTTTAATAAAGATCTCACTATATAGAGCTGAGCCGTGCACATCCAAAAGAGAGATCGTACAAGAGACGAGGCAAGAAAAAAAAAATTGTTCCAAAGAGATTTCGAGTTGCTTCCCGTCAATTCAATAAAATCTCAAATGATGTTTAATTTTGTTCTGTTTGTTTCTCTAACCATAATTAGTGAGTAGTTTACATCTATAGTTAGAGAGTGAAATAAACTTCATATGAATTTGTCAGATTTGTCTTGGTTTTGATTAATTATCTTTCGTTGATTTAAAGTATTATTTTGATTTTAAAAAAGCCAACTGATCTTAAAAATGTAGAAAATAAAAAAATGAAAAAAAAAATTAGACTCTGAATTAGATAATTATCAATTTTTTTTAATTGTCACCTTACAAAATATATCTAACACGTGTCATTAGTTTATGATTTTCGTATCTGGTTGCATCAAGTTCACAATGGATACAATTGCATGTGCTCGCATAGTACCTGGATCACATGACATGTGTCCTTCCAGTATAGGTGCAAGTGAGATTGTGCTACTAAGGACAAAACTCACAAAAGTTGACACATGTAAAATATATTTTGTCCATGTAGCAATAAAAAAGCTAGTGAATTGAAATATTTATTGCAATTTTTTCTTTTTCTTAGTATTTCAAATTGCTTTTTTATACTTTTATTTCTTAATTTTCAGAACCCTTTTACTATATCTCTATATATCAATAAATTGTAATATTTAGCTTTGTAAAGCGTAATTATATTTTTTAACATATTTACATATAACAACTATATACGTAATATGTATATTTGTCCCAAGGATAACAATTTATGCAAAAATAAATTAAATACAAAATCAACAAGAGATTAGGAGCAATTACTCTTCCCGTTGGATTATTGCCCATGATTTGCATTTTTACCAAGGGCACGTTTACTATCATGCCCAATATAGCATTAGTTCGAAGAATAATAATTAATGTAAAAAAATTTCAAATAAAATTCAAGAGATTGTTTGCATTTTCGCCGAGCGCACACATACTATCAAGCTCAATAGCATCGGTTTGAAGGATAACAATATAAAAATAAAATTCAAATAAAAAATCAAAAAGAGATTAAGCGCACTCGATCATTATTCACATTTGTGCCGAGCACATACATACTATCAAGCCCAATAGCATTGGTCCGAAGATGGCCTGGCCCATTACAACCCACTTAGCTCTCATCATTAGGGTTTTAATGGTGATCCTTCATTTTGTATTTAAAGAACTCTTTTGTCAACTTTTTGTATCTCATTCTCGCCGTTTTCTCTCCATCTCTTGTTCGTCTTGGTGCTTTTAACGATTGAGGTGCTTTTCCTTGTTTACTTCAACCATGTCTATTGTTTGAAGAGTCTTTTGTGTGTTCCTTGAAGTGTGTTTTGTGAAGTTTTATTGGTGTTATTTAGGCAAACTTGATGACCGGTATTGGTCCGGGTTTAAGCTGATTTCATAGCTGGTGCGTTGAGTTCATTTGGGTATCTATTGGTGCCGTAGCTGGCGCTTCCTTTTCTTGGTCTCGACTACCAATTAATAGTGGTGAAGGTTTGAGCTCAAAAGAAAGGTTTCGATCTTTAATTTTCATGGCTGTTTTTGAAATTTTTTACTAATTTTTCATTGGTTATTTTTTTTTTTTTTTTTGCAGATTAAAAAGCAGTATAGTTGCATATTGATCTGATTCCAGTCCATAAATACCAAATCCTACAGTCTATAAGCACAAGATCCTCAGTCCCTAAATACCAAATACCTTCAAGGGATTTCCACATCATCAAAAAAAGCTTCCAAAATCTGCACTGGAACAATCTAGGCAACAATCTGAAAAATTCAAGAGTCACTCCGAGGTATCGTTCAAACTCCTAATTTTATGACTTTGTAATTGCTAATCTCGAGTTTGTTTGGGGGATTGAATTGAATTGCACTATTCATCCAATTTTTTGCCGCCAAAAATATCAAATCAAACACCTATTTTTCATTTTTTATATTATACTAAAAATCAATTTTACATTCAAAACATCACATCAACACTTATTTATATCATCACATCATACAACTATTCAAATTCAAAATTTTTACTATTCAAATCCCAACTCAAAATCCAAACCCCCAAACAAACACAATATATGTACTTTAGGGTTGCGATACTTTTCATATCTCATCCTAAACCCTAGCGGTTTCTCAAGAGACATTGCCTAGTAGACTTGAATAACACAAAATCTTCCCTTAATTTGTAGATCTGAATTCGATTGCGCGTATTTTCTTATCTCAATTCAATTATTTCAATACCAAAAATTTTGGGCTTAGATTTTAATTCTAATAATTTCCAACACTTCAGGCTTGGGGAAGGTTGCAACAAGATTGGAAAAAAGGGAATTCTCAGCTAGGAACCACATAATTCGGTTGAATCTCGCTTTCTGATCTTCTATTCCTTCGACATGCTTCGAACTCAGACCTTGTGTGTTCATGGAAGGGCCAGCGGCGTATTGAAAGGACTCCATCTGTGTAAATGCTTCCAAGGGGATCCACCATTGAAAACTCAAAATCAAGAGACTGATTGGCCTGAATTCCCTACCCTACCCTACCTTACCCTGGGGGGAAGACGTCCTCCTCCTGTCGATCGACTGCCTGAGTACTCCTTGATTCAAAGGGTAATTATTTGCAATTATAGGTGGTGACTGAGTTGGACAGAACCCGGATAATCTCAGTGGGTGCTCGAAGTTATGAATGTAGTTTAGAGGTTTTCCAACCAATGACAGAAATCTGTTTTAGGGTTTGGTTTTTATTTTATAGACGATTGATGTTGTATAAATAAGTCTTACTATGATACTTAAAATACAAATAAGAATTTGTTTGTCATCTTTTTTTTTTTTCTACACATAAAAATAATATTCAATATTCAATATTATCTTTTATATTATAGCCATACCATCTTATACCTGGCGTTAAAATAAATCAATCAAAACATTAAACAAATATCTTTTATGTTTTATAAAAAATAAAAACTAAATATTTAATTCAATATTTTTTTGTAGAAAAAATAAATTAATTAATAGCAAAAAATCCAAACAAAACACAATCCCCTTGCTATCATTTACACATATTTTAAAAATAATCCAATAAGAAAAGTATTCATTTCAACTCTTAAAATGGAGTATATGTTTCTATTATTTATATTTATTTTAGGGTTTTTATATTTATGATTTTTAATAATAATTATATCTTCTATAAAGGGAAATGAAATATATTAAAAATATTTTTTATCAAAATTTAATTTTAAAATTAATAATATATATTGTTGATCCCATAGAAAGAGAGTAAGTTGTAATATAGATGGTTCTCAGCATTTGTTTGGTTATTGTTTGTTATTGTGAATGGGAAGTTTTTGATTTTATTATTGGAACAAAATGTGCTTAACAATTGATTAAGTTTATGATATAAATAATTTTGATTAGAAATAAATTAAAACATATGCTAATGTTGTAAAAATATTTTTTAATAATATAATTATATTTAAAATATTTTTAATTTGATTTATTTATTTATTATAATATTTGGTCATGAGTTAATTTTGAGTTAAATTATTAAGAATTGTAAAATTATTGTGGTGGGTCTGTCTGATTCCTCGGGTCTCTTGGGATATAAAGCTAGTCAAGTCGGATCCAGGTATTATCGGATCCCGCTTGGATCTTGGATTTAATTTATTCGAGTCAGGTCTCGGGTCATCAGTACTTGACCCCTTAAATTGATTCAAGCTTCATGAGATGAGATTGTAAAGAACGCATGAGTTCATAAAACTAAAATTTGGAGAGATATTTAGACTACTCAATTCCCGCCACAACATAATCAAATTATAGTCATAAACTTCTGAGAATTTTCGCAACAACTTTTTCATCTGTATGTTTTTAGCCATATGCTTTCATTTGGTTAATAATGACTAAAACCTTTCTTAACTAATCTTGAACAGATTCGTTTCCCTTCATACCTGAAGCTTCGGAGTCTCTGCAAAGTGACTGAAGTTTAATTGCAATTACCTTTCTTGATCCTTGGAATTATGTCTTCAAGATTGTCCATGGTTGATATACTTTAGAGGATACTGCAATTCATGAAAAGATGGACTCATCCACTACTTGTTGGATGGAAACGAAAAAAAAGAGGGCATTTGCATTACATTTCTGATTTTTCCTTTTGTAGGTTCATCATTGATCGTCTCTGAAACTACAGTTTCGAAAACGTCCCGGAGATGGGTATTTGTTGTTGAGACATGCTAACAGAATTGGAACTAGTAACCATTGCACAACGAAATGATGAACTAGATAAACACCTAAAGATTAGCTCGAAGAACCTGCTATGATACCACGTTTGTTAGAAAACAAGAACAAAGAACAAATGAAACAAGGGTGATTTTTTTAAAAAAAATAAAGGAAAAAACAAGAGTAAATGCTCATGCAAGAAAATACTCATGCAAGATCTAACAACCAAACTATATGGAACAGAAACTAGGATAACTTCTTGATGCTACAATTACCACCAACTACATAATTCTTTTTCCTCTAAAGCCATCAACACCTATGAAAGCAGCAAAAGTTGAGGACAGCAATCACCAATAGCATCCAAGACACATTCTCCACTCTTCCCTCATCGTTATATTACACTTCTGACAAGATCCACCAATTGAGAGCTCAAGTTAAACAAGACCCTGATGAGCATCGTATCATTGACAAGGAAATTAAAATGGCATTCCTACCCAGTCCCCACAATGGCAATTTGGAGCACCAACCAAAATTGAGGATTGAACGGCGGCATTTAAACTGAACAAGGGCTAACACGGCCATGCTGGCGATGGTGAGAACATGACCTATGCCTAATTGCCGCAGATATGGCACATGCTTGCCAGTAGCTATATTTCCACAGTTGTTCAAAGACAATCCCCAAATAGTGTGAGGCATATATATATATATGACTGGCCAGAAATGTTTTGAGCACCATGGAGCTGGTGGAGCAATGAAGATGACCTGCAGATGGTGATCTGTGGTTAAAGGCTGGAGAACCATCAAGCTGTCCTGGATGCCAATCAGAGTTGATAAGAAGATTCTGGATGACCATAGAGGAAGGATTCGGAATAGTTTTGAGATCTCCACTTGCTGAACAGACAATTTTTCAGGGGCTTGGCGTTGGAACCAGCAATGGCGACCTCCACTTCAATCAGTGCAGCATAGTTCAGTAACCTGCACCAAAGTTATTTATCAAATTTTTCTCCCAAAAAAATATCAAATCAAATATATTTTTTCATTTCTTAAATTATGCTACAAATCAGTATTACAACACCAATTTATATTACATTATACAACTATTTCAACTTAAGAATTTTACGATTCAAATACTAAACCCCAAATTCAAACTCCCAAACAATAAATATTCTATAGAAAAAGTGATAAAAGTGAAAAAACTAGTTGGGGGACCTTTCGAAAATCTCGTTAGAAATTAAAGAAAATAAAAATAGTTATAAATAATAGTTAAATGTTTATTTGCTTAATTTATCTAAATTAGTACTGGAGTAAATTTAGGTGACTGAACAAAAAGAAAAACCATAATAAATTTGGCTGACAAAAGGAGTATATATGTACCTCACAAAAGTTAATTTCATTTAAAATATTAAATCAAAAACTAATTTCAATTCAAGTATTTACTACTTCCAACCCCAGCAGCCTTAAGATGATCAATGTAGTTATAAAAAAAAGGAAAGAGAAAAAAGAAAAAAAAGAAAGAAAGATGATCGATGTAGTTAAACATACAAACAGATCTGATTACCATCTATAAACACTAAATCCTACCGGATATAACCCCCAAAGAGTGAATAAACTTTACCTGGATCATCAAAATCCTTTTCACTTATGTTTGACAGGCTTTCCAGATCATCGAAAATATTGCCAAAGTCGTCACTGGCATTAGCAGTGGTTTTAGTTACAGTACTTGGAGCTGTTGAGCTGCCAAAGTTATCCAAATTGTCATCCACCGACAAAGGTTTGTAACTCGTTTTCCCAGCAAGCCCATCAACTAATTCAGGCCGCTGAATTATGGGGTCTGTAATGCCTGGCAACTCTGGCAACATATGATGTTGTGTTTGATCACTTGTAGGCTCCAAATAAGTATCTGCAGCCTGCTTGTTATAGTCCGTAGTTTGATAGATGGCTGAGGTTGTTGTAACTTGAGGCTTCATTCCCGTACACCAAATAATCAGAATCAGAGAAGTGCAGAAAGCTAAGGTTTTTGAAAAAACGTAATGAAGTCAGAATATTTTTCTTTATGTATAATGCCTGATGAGATCCATTCATTGTTGTGCTTTGAATGTTCACTAAAGATATATTACACATTACATCCATATAAAAAGAATTTCTTGAGAAAATCCTAAAAGAGCTCCCTTTTAGATTTAGAAAATTGCATCAGAATAATACCTAAAAGTACATAATATAAGGGTTTATATGTTTGCCCTTTCAATCACAATATTTTGAAGAATGCAAAATTCAATTAAAAAATTCCTCATACAAATATTACATTAGGAATAAAACTTATTTTTTCATTTAAATATCACATCTAAAATCTAATTTATATTCAAAACACTACATTCAATAGTTATTTTTAATAGAAACCTGATCAGGTTTGTTGTGCCAATAATTTTTTGCTAATACCATTCCCATGAATATTAAAATAAAAGAAAAGAAATAATATATACATACATATTCAAATAATATAAACTCTACTCTCTCACAAAAAATTAACAATTTAACAAAAAATATTAATTTTTATATTATCAGCATAAATTCTCAGATTTCACGTGAAAACAACATTTCAAACTAAAATACTAAACAAACAAATATGATATCAACAATCCATTTTCTATTCAACTTTTACTATTCCTAAAATAATTCAAAATATTTTTTTATCAAAATCAAAATACAAACAAGTATACTAAATTATTCATTTTGAAAATAGCTTACCTCTATTGCTTGATTCAAATTTGCATGGATATCAGCTCCAGATGAGTTGGCTTGGTGTTCATCTCGCAACCTTGTATGAGTTCTAAATCTTCTTAGTACACACAAAAATGCAAAACGGAAGTAAGCATGATTACCAAAAATGTGTAATTTTCTTACAAGTTCCAATTGAATGTCTCTACATGGTCAGAAATCTGAGAAGGTGCTGCTGAATCCTCATTTCTCACAAGGCCTGAAGATACCAAAATAAAAATAAAAATGTAACTCATGTAAATGTAATCAATGCATGCCATATAAATATGAAAAAAATTAATGGCAGCATATACTGTAATTGGCAGCAGGTAGGAATCCATTTCTCAGCAATCTTCGGGCAACCTTCCCTTGCCTGAATTTCTGAAAAACATCAATGAAATGGTTATATTTCTTCTATATCAATCAGCACAGATTCTTTAAAATGTTGTCTCAAGTGTATACAAAGTCATAAAAAAATAAAAGAAGTTTGTAATGAAACCTGCAAATGACTCTTGACATGGGCAATGGTTAGTCCTTCAGCATGCATCAATCCCATAATTGCTCTAGGTGTTGCTTCTGCAATAATGAATTCAACTAAGTAAATATGATTCTAATTTACCTGTTTTTCGAAAAAAGTTTGTATCAAATATGCGAGAATGGTGGAAGCAATCATAGTGTCGTTCGAGTATTGCTAGAGCTGTGCTAATAATAAGTAGTCGATATGCATCCGCGCCAATCTATGGATTCTCAATATCATTTCTTCCCAATGAGCTGCACCATCCATCCATTTCATTGGAAACTTACAAGTTTCACTAGAATCTATCCCACAACAAATTTAATTCTAC